CCCTATTACTAACTATATTATAGTAATTAGTAGTACTTAAAAAAGTAATAGTAGAAATTTAGAAGCTTTAAATTAGATACCAAATTACAAATACCCTAAATACCCAAAATAGTTCTAGTACTACTAATATTTATAAACTTCCCTTAAATTCAGATATTCTTATATAATATAAAGAAAATACTAGTTAATCCGGTAGTTAGAATAAACTATATAAGCTAGTAGTCATTAATAGAAAGAACTATATACTAGCTCTACTATATAGTAATACTATCTTTTACTTAATCTCTAGAAAGCTCTTTTATATAAGGGATATTAAGGTTATTACTAATAGCCCCGAACCTAAAACTATTCCCGAACTCTATAATAAGACTAAAAGTAATATAGATATAATTCCTTCTACTATTTCCGCTATTCTACTAAAGTATAATAGAAAATACCCTTATAAGATCCCGGATATAACGGTATTTCTTTAAAATAATAACCTATATAAGAACTTTTATTAAATTAAAGTCGCTAGCTTTCTAGAAAAAAATATATTTAAGGTTATTTCTAGATCTCAAGTACTAAAGAAAATATATATCTTTAATTTCTAATTCATTAATAAGATTAAGAATAAGGGTACGGAGAAAGAGTTTAAGAAGTTAAAACTAGTTATCCAAGCTTATAATAATAGTAAGAAATATATAATATTAATATAATTGCTTACTATTTAATATATTAGCTAGAGAATTATTCTTAATATTACTATTATAATAATAGATACTATAAAACTATATTTATATAATATCTTATAAGCTTATATCTAATTAATAATCTTACTTAACTATAATTTTTATATTAATTTATTTTATAAGCTTACTAGAGAGCTAAATCTAAATAATAATTCTGTTCTAAAAATTATAAAACTATTATATAGTATACCGGAAGCTAGAAACTACTAGTTTAAGACTTACTATTTCTACTATATTAATAAGCTTTCTATAGAATAGTTAACTTATAACCCTTATTTTCTTTATAATAAGTAATTTTTCGGAATTATTAGCCTTTAAACTAATAATACTCTATTTATTAGAACTAATAATTTTATAAAAGTAAAGTAACTAAAGCTCCAAAAGGCTAAGTTCTTAGCTAAGAAATATAAATACCTTACTATTAACTATAATCTCAAATTTAATAAAGTTATTATTTATATAAATATTACTAGAATTACTCTTATATAAAAATACTAATATAAAAACCTCCGAATTATTTCTATAAAAAATACTATTACTATAAGTAATAGAAATACTATTTATTAAGATCTTTCTATTAAGAACTAATATATTACCTAATATACTAGAGAAATATATATTATATTAGTCTATTAACTAGAAGCTTTATATAACCTATTAATTATTACTTAAGCTATTAAATTCTCGGAAACTAATATAAAAACACTTAATAAATATATTTAATAGCAAATTAAGAATACTGCCAAAAAAACTAAGATTTGTAAAGCTAGTAAACAAATTCTTATATTTAATTATTTTTATAAATATTTCATTTGCAAATAATAGAGATCTCTTCTCCTAAATTAGATATATTCTAGTTCTAGTAAACGGAACTAGATATATTAATATTATTTACTAATTCTTTACTAAATATAAGAGAATTACCAGAAGTATTCTAGCTTCGGAACTTTATAGTATAGCTTATAGCTTTAATATAGGTACTTTAGTTAAATTTATAATTAATAAAATACTAGAAATAGAACTATTACTAGTAATTTATACGGATTCGAAGTTATTATATAAATACTTTATTAAATTAGAAACCACTTAAGAAAAGCATTTAATAATTAATATAATATATCTCTACTAGATATATAAATAACGAGAGATTATAGAAGTTTAATAAATTAAGGAAGAATTAAATTCTACCGATTTTATAATAAAATCGAAGCTAATAAATACCTTTAAGTACCTAATTAATACAAATACTATATAATTAGATATAGAGAAATAAGTTAAGTATAAATAAGACAGGAAATAAATATATAGAATAAGAGGATATTATAAGAGAGAAAGTTATATATAAAAGACTATAGCCTTTAGTATATAACTAAAACCTTAGAAGTAATATAGATATATAGAATATTTGGGAAATCTGGTACTAGGCCGAATTAGGGAATTTGTATATAATTAGAGGGAAGTACTATTTTTCGCGTTTTTTAGAGAGTTTCTAGTATTAGTATAGCTATTCTTTTAGAAGTTATATATATAGTTATAGAATACGGGATATAGGATATAGGTAATAAGATATGGGATATAGAATATAGTTATATAACCTTATATTCTATTAGTAACTTGACTAATAGACTAGACCTCTTTAGGCTTAGTAGATTTAGGAATTATATATTAATACTATAATACTATAATTCCTACTTCTAAAAAAACAATAACTTTACTAACTAATATAACTAGTATTTCTATACCTATATAATAGTATTATATATTACTAGTAAACTAATAATTAATAATGCTATTATTAAAATAAATTATTATAAAATTATATTTATATATAAAATATAAAAGTAGTTTTATTTCTTTTATAAAAATAAAAACAAGTTTAAAATAATATTATAAAACTAGATTTCTAGATTTAAAAAGTAATAAAATAGTTTAATTTCGAGAATTTTAAACTAAAAAAAAGCTTTTAAATATAAGAGCTTTAATATTCTTAATATTAGCTTTAGCTATATATATTATTATAGTTATATAATATTAAATTTATTATTAAAGTAATAAAATATAATATTTAAAGCTTATTTAATTAAAATTATATATTTTATTAAATAAATATATATTAAAAGAAATTAAGTATTTAATAAATTATTTAATATATATAAAAGTAAAAATACTATAAAAAATATTTTTAAAAAAATAAAATAATATATAAAATAAAGGAAATATTATATATTATATTTTTCTTTTTTTAAATCTAATTATATTATAATAGAAAAAAAGATAACTAAATAATAAATAAAATTTATAAATTTAGTTTAATTAAAAGTTAGTTTAAAACTTATATAATTAGAGCCCTATTATATATATAATATATATAATATTAAAAAAAGCTATATTTAATATTTAGAAAGATTTATTTAAGCTTATAAAATTTAATTATTATTATTATATTAATAATAAAGCTAGTAAAATACTATAATCTTTTTTTAAAATATAGGCTTATATAATCTTAGTAAATAAATATATTTATATTTTATATAAAAAGAAATTAAAAAAATAAAAGAAATTTATAAATTTTAAGCCCTAACTATTAATAAATTATAAATCGAATTAAAAATCTAGTTAATAAATATTTTTTGCCTGATTTTATTTTATAATTATATTACTATTTAATATAAATTAATTAGAATTATAATAGATTAAACCCCGATTAATATATTTAATTAGAAGCCTTTATTAAGTTATATAATAAAGGCTAGAGCTTTTACTATATAATATGCCTTTTTAGATTAATAAAGTAATTATATATTACTTAGAAAACTCGAATACTTTAAGAAATATAATTTTATTTTTCCCCGTTTTTTCTCTTTCTTTTCTTCTTAAATAATTCTATTTAGTTAATTGAACTATTAGTCTTCTTCATATAAAGGCCTGACCTGTAATAAGAGTTATAATTAAAAAGTTATTATAAATATAAAAAGTAATTATTTTATTACTTTTAAATTAAATTAATTATATATTAAATAATTCAAGATATTAAAAAATATAAAGGTATTATTATATATTATTATTATATTATTTTTATAAATAAAGTTACTATTTCTAATATATAATTATATAATTATATATATTTTTTATTTAATAGTTTTTTATTTTTTTTTATATTATTTAAAAGTTTAATAAAATATCTTTTTATTTTAGGTATATTTATAATAAAATTATAGTATTTAGTATTAATATTTTAAAAATATAATATATTAAGGCTTTAAAAATTAGAGTTTCTAGTTTCTAGTTCTAGAAATATTTATTAGCTTTTAAATAAGGTATTTATTTAAAATAAAAAGAGAATAAAAAGAGATTATTATAATACTTACAAGTATTATAATTAATATAAGAGTCTTATATAGTTTATAAAAGTATTAGAATAGTAATTTTAGTTATTATAACTTTGAATTAAATAATAGTAATTATTATATAAATAATAATAACTAAAAATTATTTTATTTATTAAATAAAATATTTAATTAAAAGATATTATTATTAATTATTATAATAAATATAATTGAATTATAATATAATAAAAATATAGAAAGAAGAGAAGTATAATACGGATAGCCAGAGCTTTAATACAGAAGCTATAATTACGTGAAGCCAGGTCACGTGGCTAACTTATAATTGCTATATAATATAATATAATAAATTTTAATATTAGCTTTTATATTTATTAAAGAACTTAATAATATTAAATTCTTGAAAATAAGGCATTTTAGGAATTATAATAAATAATATAGTTTATATAAAGAATATAATTTAAGTTTTATTAATAAAGAAATTTATTAAAATTCCCTGTGCTCTTTCCTATAACACAACTTGTTATTCTCCTCCCTCCGCAAGCAAGACCGGCGAAATAGCAAGAGGGGATCCTATACAGGAAGATCCAGCAGAATACTCTTCTGCAAACCAACGGTCTTCAATTCGTGAATATATAAGTCAGACCGCCCAGAAAAACCTTGGCTTCATAATTGGTAGTATGTGGCGGGCACGGTTGATCTACAAGATAAATCCAGGCTAACAAATGTGCATAGGAGTTGAGAAGAATTCCTTTCTCGCACAAGTTTTTGGAACAGTAATGGACTGTATTGTAAAGGTGAAAGTCGTTGGTAAGTAGACTGAACGCAAGACGAATTTGGGCTAACAGTTGTTTGTAGTAGGCAACTGTGAATTACTCCTCAAGAAAGACCCAAAGAATTATTCAAAGCGGTACCAGAGAACGGCGTGCATCAGAGTTTCCGTCGAAAAGCAACCTGGTCAGGTCCGCACCTCGTAATGGGAGGTTTGAGGAAGAAGTGCTACAAAATGTCAACAATCTGTCTCGGTTGGTCCCTCCTCAAGAGAGACACATTTCTCGGGCTTCCAATACCCCTTTCATGCCTCCTGATGTCATGCTTGAAGGAGAACCAGCGACTCAAGCTGAGACAAGTACCACATATGCTGCTCACCTCCAGATGCCCCGGCAAGAACAAGACATTAGTCGTACACCGAGCCAGGATGGAGTATCTGGTGGTCCCACTGGTCCGGGTCGCCTTGAGGGGCCCCGTCGACCGAATGCTCAGCCTTCCCAGGACGCCTCTCCTAGTCCCGCCGACCAGATGAAGCGTGGTACCCAGCAGATGAATAACGTTGACATGGGCTCGCCTCTGCCAGAGGGTGCACAGACGCATGACTCTCGCAGCCCCATTAACTCTATAGGCCAAAACATGGAACTGATCCCAGCGCAACACTTCAACCGAATGAACTGCAACATGATTCCTAGCCAAGCTAGCGGTGGCAGCAACCACGCCTCCAAGACTATCAGATGCAGGCGATGTTGCTCGAACATCAGAACAAGAAGAGGGATTTCATGGCTAGGACGGCCAGGCTAGAACAAAGCCGAAAGTGGCAGCCTTGAAGAACACCAGTGGCGGATGATGTTGTTCGAAGCACAGGAAAAGAAGCGACGTATGATGGCCCGGTTAGAACAAGGCGAACGAGAAGCCAGGGAAAAGATCGAGACGGAAAGGAAATCCAAAGAAGAGCGAAAGCAGGAGAAGGAAAGACGTGCTAGGAAATTCGTTGTAAAATCGCAACTCTAATCGTGCCATGTTGCCGAAGGAACTTGGTGGTGCCGTTGACGAGGTTTTGGGAGATTATGACGTTGATGGATTCAGAGTTGTGGATGCAAGTGCTGCGCCCATGCTGCTTGGGGCTAATACTTGTCAGGCCGTGTATGCTATTCCTGAGAAGGCGAGAGATCCCGATTGATTGAAGCACGGGATGTATGCTAACCCTATGTAGGCTGCAGATATAATCAAATCTGGGGAATAATGAATCCAGACTGGGTTCGGAGGCTATGGTGAAAACTTTGCATTGCTATTATTGAGACTCCTGCTTCTTTCCCGGCAAACTTTCAAAAGTCTAAACATCCGCCTAATAATAATTGCAAAAACTCGAATAACTGCAAGCAATGCGGTTGGATATAGAAATCGTTGAGTTCAAGCGATTCGGTCCGGAGGAAGGGGTAATATTCTGAAGTGTTGGGATTGAAGGACGCCAAAGGTTAAGTGAGGCTAGCATACTTCAGCTTCGTGGAAGACTTGAAGACTCGAAGACACCTGAGAAGCTTTTTTCCCTTGTCAACGCCCTCGGACGCTTCACCCCTTTAAACTGCAAAGGCACACGATAAATAAAAGCCAAAGCACTCTGCCACGAGCCATGTTTACAAACCTTCGCTTGGCATTGTCGGATCCAAGCCCCAGAGTCGGCGACACTCACGTCAGCTGGCGTCCCTCAGTCGGCTCCCGCCATGCAACGGAAAAAGCGAGCCCACCAATGTTATTCCCGCCCTGCTGCACAGCACAGAGGACAAATCAGGAGCGGGCCCCACCTTACGACGAACCCTTGCATTTGGCGTGCAGAATATCCGAAAAATGCTACACTAGAAATCGCCATGCCTCCCGCTCTTGGCAGATTATCTACGCCGCTGCTTTGACGGCACCGCCCTAATAAGAACTAGCTTCTGCTCGGAGCCCCGCACACTACAATGTAAATCTAAAAGCTTTCCGATTAGGGCCTCTCTGCTTCGATCCTGTTTCTGATAACTCAATGGCGGACACTAACCCAGCAGCTACCGCGCAGGAACCTCTAGAGGCTGATGTGAGTTTTGACCATTGCAGAGAGGGACGAGAAGGCTGATGGAACTAGGACGCGGGAAGCTTCGAGAATGATAGTGCGCTTGGGGACACCGAGTAGGTTTGAGAGACTGCAGGAATCATGGCTAGGGGGATAAACTAACTCAGGAGTCTTGGTAGTGACTCGAGCGAAAGAACCTCGCTGTTCAGCGAAATCATGAAATATCGAGAGGAAAATGGACGTCGTTATCACGGGTACAAAGATGGATCGTATCTGTTGCCAAATGATGAGACGGAGCAAAATCGTCTTGATCTAGTAAGTCCCACGCTCCAATGGCTTCCGTTATATCTCTCATATCGAAAATCAGAACCACCATGTTTTCACCATGGTGAACAAAGGGAGAGGAGGAGGGCTGTACCGAGCTCCAATTGACAAGCCAGCACGCGTGTTGGACGTGGGCACAGGGACTGGAATCTGGGTTATGGATTTCGGCGAGTATGCTATACCCTATACCCTCTACCCACCTCGCCCACGGCTTTCAATATTAACTCAAGCCAAGCGCACACAAAGAATCCCACATCATCGGCATCGACCTCTCTCCCATCCAACCAACATGGGTAACACCCAACGTCGAGTTCCTCGTCGACGACGCAGAAGACGAGTGGATCGGGCAAAAGTACGATTACATCCACATTCGCATGCTCGCGGGCGCGGTCAAAGACTGGCAGGGGCTTTTGCAAAAAGCCTATAACCACTTGAACCCCGGCGGCTGGTTGGAGTGCACAGAGTTCGAAGTCTGGATAAAGAGTTACAACGATACACTGCATAATGCTCCTGACATCAAGAAGTGGCAGGAAGGGTTGCAGGAGGCTGCGAATAAGTTTGGGAGGACGATGGAGGTCGCGGTGAATTTAGAGGGGTGGTTAAAGGAGGCGGGGTTCGAGGATGTGGTAGAGGAGAAGACGGTGGTGCCGAGTAGTCCGTGGGCGAAGGATAAGGAGATGAAGACAATTGGGGCGTATCAGTTAATGAATATGCTGGATGCGGCGAGTAGTTATGGACAGGCACATTTTACGCGGGTGTTGGGGTGGAGTAGAGAAGAGTATGCGGTGTTGAATGCGAAGGTTAGGACGCAGTTGAAGGATCGAAGTTTGCAGCTTTATTCAAATTTGTGAGTGTGCCCTTTCTATGGACCGGTGATTTGTGCTAACTTTGGTAACCATAGGTACACTGTTTATGGTCGCAAACCGAAGCCTCCGAAGACAACACCAGATGCAGAAGCAGCAGAGTGAGGGGGAAACTCGTTTTAGAGCAGTCCGGAAGAGTATCTCGTTGTGCTTGATTTCGTTACCACCATCGTAAATATCCAATAACACCTCATATTCAATCATCGGGCCTCGTTCGAGACTCCGTGAAGCAAATGCCCCACCCTATAATAGACTCAATCTGATTCCGGAAGGCTTCCTCATAGACCATCAACGGTCACTTGAAAATAACGCGAACACCTTTGCTCCTCAAGTCAGCCTGTGGTAGGAATAGATCATGCTGAATGTCGACATCAGCTCTCGTAGTTTCGAACAGCTCCTGGTTTTCGAAACGCCTAAAGATGGTGGCGATTGCCAGCTGCAGCTCAGCTTTTGCAAGACTGGTTGGACCACGTCAGTAACAGAGAAGGTCTCCAAGAATGACAAGACTTACTTCATGCCAACGCACTGCCTAGACCCCTTGGAAAACGAAACAAGATATCGATCGAGAGGTGGAGCGCCATTAGGACGTTTCAGCAGCCAGCGTTCAGGCTTGAACTTGTTTGCTTCGGGGAAGATGGATTCGTTTTGGTGGATGTGGACGGATGTCATGCCTACTGGGGTCTGAATTATTGCCTGTTAGTAGGTAGGGACTTTAAAAAGATGGAGAACTTACGCCGGCAGGTATCTCATACTGGTGGAACTTCATGCTTTCGGTCGGATGAATGCGTGGCGAGCGGGTGCTGATGCCATAGGAGAGTCTTTACGAAGTTAGAATAGTCGAAATTCATGGATGTATATTGATTACCTCAGACCCTCATTGAGCACTGCATTCTGTCAAAGTATGAGTAACATCTCTGCAACGTTCTTTGATTACTGAACCTACCAGATACGGCAGTTGCTCCACAACTTTCAAATCCACGGGGTCATACTTCTTCGGTAGAGCTTCCTTGAGCTCTGCCAGCAGCTTCTTGAGAATGTCTGGGTTGTCCAAAAGATGGAAATGCGTAACAGTGAATGCATTGCCCGTCGTGTCCGCTCCGGCACCAATAGTGACTTGTGCTTCCTGCCACAAGCGCTCGAAGGATTTCTCTCCAGGGGGAAGATCCGATTCCAAGATTTCATGGAAAATTGTCTTCTCGAGGCCCAGAGATTCGTACGCCTTGTCGGCTTTGTATTTTCCTTCGAGGACGTTGCGAGTTTCTTGTTGGGTTAGCTGGCACAAGTTAGCTTAGTTCATGTTGGGCTTAAGGGAAAAGGGGGGCATACAGCCTGAGACTCTAGAAGCAGGAGCATGCCGGGATTCATCGCACCAACGAAACTTGGGGGAAGGGCTCGAATGATAGAGAAAATCCATGGAAACTGCTTCATCGTATGTCCCGCTGCGGCTATCGCCTTGACGGTCTCTACCCAAACCGGGGAGAAGTCAGGACTGTCCAAGAGATTCGGGTTGTGATTCAAAATGATCAGGGTGACAATATCTGTAGCCAGACACGAGTACACCAGACGTATTGGCATTGGCTGGCCTGACTTCCGGAACTCTTCGATTCGGTTGCATAACTTATCGATCATGTAGGTGAGCATGGGCTGCACGCGTCCCACCGATTGCTTCGAGAGGAAAGGGTTGAGAGCACCGCGGCGTTTTCGGTGATGTCTGTGATCGGCCGTTCCGAACGAAGAGCCTGGAAGCTGGAATTGATTGAGATAATATTCGGACTTGTCGCGCGGCTCGTGCTGGGAGTACAGCTTCTCATAGTAGTCAGGCTCGTCGATGTGGAGCTCATTTGGACTGATTCGAATAATGGGTCCTAGAAATCTTATTAGCTGTTTGTCGTATAAAAGAAATTGGTGGGCGTATACCATATTTCCTGTGCAACTCCTTTATCTTGAAGGTGTAGTTTCCTTTCAAGATTACGTCGTAGTAGAACTCGTACCACAAGGTTGCAGCAGCGAGCTTGGGGCCGGGGAATTTGGAAAGAGGGCCCAAGTAGACGCTATACGCTCTGCGAGCAATAAAGGAGAGCAGTAGGCATAGCAGACCGATCGACAAGATCTGCTGGGTGCTTGGATTGCTTGGGAGGAGCTCGAGGAAAGCCATTTGAGGCTATGATGGGATGAGGGCCAGGAAAGAAGGTTGGGGGGAAGCTCCGCACCACGTTTTACAAACCCCTGCCTTAGTACAGAACACCCCACGAGGCCTTACCGAATGTGCATTTTACAGTGATAGCGCGATAGCCTTAGGAACCTCTCACTGTGCATTAAACACGCAACCAGCCGTGTGAGTGGCGTTTGCACGAGGGAAGAATGGCTTTATTAGAAATTGCATGTTGAGGCGGGGAAACTCGCATTTTGGGGTGAGCCGTCGGATTGGTTCAGTGGCGGCCAGGGCGCGACCCGACTCCGAGGAATAGGGTGGTGTAACCATCACGTGACGCCTAATATTGTAAAGCGCTTGAGTCTTGACGTATCGTAAGACACATTTTTCGTTACAGCATGTGCGTTCTTTTGGGAGGGGCTGGGCTATCTAGTGCCTTGTAGGCCTCTAAATAGGGGTTTCTGGGCCCGGGCTTAGGATATGGATCTCCGTGGAGCTTCGACTCTTTTTCGGGCTTAGCTCCCTCCTTCTTGGCTAAAACGGGCTGGCACGTCACATGACTGTATTTAAGGTTCCATCTACTCTCCACGCTGCAATCTAGTGGTAACGATATTTTACTTTTTAATTATAGCAAAGTAGCCAACCCTAGCGAGGAGCCTTTAGCAATGCTTTTGTCCCACCCTCGTATTGGACATAAAAGGTGTCATATAATTGTTCCAAGCTAGGTGGGGCAATTTTCCAATTTCGCGTCCTTTCATTCCCAGGAGCCCTCATACTTCTAATGATCTTTCGAAACTCTAGAAAGCTCCAGAATATCTGACTCTTCCCTTTGAAATCTAGGTTACTTTCTAACTTTAACTCAAGACCATGAAAACTGGTATCGCTCTTTATGTTCTCCGCGAGCCACCAACACTCGACAACACCTGCTCTTCGCTGTTTCGCATCACCTCCTCCAAAGATTGAATATCTTCACCAGCCCCGCCATCTGCCCACCAATATCTTGCTTTTGACCATGTCGCAACTTAATACCCATGCCCATCACAGCTTCAAGCACACTCAACAACTGGCAAGCTCCCGATGCAGGAGCCATCGGGTGTTGGGTGTTGGTGACAGGGTAGCCGGCCACAGGATGCTACTCCACTGCTCTATTACCTATTTTCCGGGCCGCATCCGATCTCCAAGATAGATGTCGCTTGCGAGCTGTGCATTGTGCTTGGCAGACGGCTTGAGAGGTGATATTTGGTAGTGGTGTTAGTTGTAGGAGGAGTTGAATGAGCACGACAATTTGAGCTCGGATCCCAGAGATCGGCTGTCGGTTCCGTGAATATGCGACGTGCACGTCGATATAGACAAAATAGTTGATTTGGTAGAGTCCTGCTTGAGGTGTTGATGGTGGAAGGTAGTCTTTATCGGTCGGTTATACGGATCGGAAGTCACGAGAGTGGAAGTGCACCGGTCCATCCGACCAATTGTCTATCTATATTGCTTGCATTTTGAATTGTCTCTTGGCTGTCAAAATTCGTGCGCCGGATTCTTAAGGCAGAGTCCCGCGCAACTGCCTCCTGAAGTCTCGCAAGATGCAAATTGACGGTATCGAAACTAGCGTTTGCAGGCAGAACGGTGTTCTGTGGGATATTTGACCACCCCCCGCATCGCAATTTACAGTTTTAGTTTATTTTTATTGATTCCTCGAGCTGAAAGCATCAAGCTGAAAGCATCAGCTGTAGCACTCGACAACTCTTGAAAATCATGCAAGAAGATACCAGACCCAGTAGAGGATAGCTTTTGATAAATCGTTGTCGAAATTCAACATTCCTGATATCTCTTCATAAGTGCCTATTACCCAACACACAGCTCCATTTTCTATGTGTAACTTCGAGCCTCAAGTCTTGGAAGCAAGTTGATCACGCATTCCCGAAATATAGTCGAAGTGTGTAATCTTGATTCCGAAGCTGCTGGTGGCGATGCCGAGTGAATGTCGTCGAAGGGACTCGTGAGAAAACAGTCTTGCGCACATTATTCACCCACAAGTTTATAAACGAGGTCGAGAAAAAAATTTCCTTTGGTTTCCTTCCCCTCCATTCACGTCATTGACTCACCCTACCTTGTAGTTCCACATCATCCCTCAACTCGCTGATTATTGCTGTGTACAGCATCACCGGACTACTTGAACATTGCCATTCGAAACTTACCTCCCGCGTTCTAATCCGAGGAGAACCTCTTTGCGAGCATGACCACAACTTTGTATGAAATACCGCAACCTTCAACGCCCGGTACGGCGACCCATGGCGACCACCCCGAGCCAGGCTCCTCCTTCGGATCACAAGCACAAACACTTGTCCAGTCCCTCATTCCATCAATGGCTGATAAAGAGGTACCAACGACGGGCGACGAACGGATCTCACTCCCATCGACCAGGCCACCTGTTCCCCATGGACCCAAAGTCTCCAAATTCGTCGTCTATATGCGCAAGATATATCGACCCTTGGGATTTCACAAAGGATACAACTTCCCCCTCTGTGAGCGACCCCCTTCTCTCGTTCACGTCGCAGTACTAATCAAAGCCAGTCATCGTCTCCGCAGGCGCCATGCTCGGATTCACGCTCGCCAAACTATCGAATCTGAATGTCAGCGGCTCGTCGCCCGGAAGTTTCAAATCCGATGCTCCGCCTGGAGAATGGTACTATCTCTCGCAAGGCCATTACCGCTTTGGTCTCACGCTGCATCTGGCCACCGTCCTTCCAGCTGGCTTGCTCATGGTCTGGCAATTTGTTCCATATATTCGAAAGAGATATTACACATTCCATCGAATCAACGGATACGTAGTTGTTATCTTAATCGTGTTGAGCAATGTTGGCGCTCTGATGATTGCTAGGAGGAGCTTTGGAGGAGGACTTGATGCTCAGGCTGCGGTGGGCAGTCTGGCTGTGCTGAGTGCGGTGGCGATCGGGATGGCGATGTGGAATATTTGGTGCTTGCAGATTGATCAGCATAGGGCGTGGATGTTGAGAGCGGTATTCTATATGGGGACGATTATTACGAGCAGGATCATCCAGATTGCCACCGCGGAGATCATTACTCGGATCCAAGACTATAACCAGGTCCAGACATGTGGACAAATGGCTTCGAATTACGGCGGTGCTGGTACCCTCCCTCCAGACGTTGCGGCTATGTTTCCTCAGTGCTTGAACTCGACTGCAAATCTACCTGTCGCTGTCCAGGCCGATTTTCATGGCAATCTCGAGCAGGTTGGAGCGAGTCTGGGCCTTGGATTTGGTATGGCGTTGTGGATGGCGATTCTGCTGCATCTTGTGGGGGTCGAGATGTACCTGAATTTGACGCCTGGTGAGACCAATAGGATGAGGGCTGTGAGCTATGAGAGACAGTTGGAGGGTGGATGTGCACATCCTGGAAGTGCGGGAATAACGGCCGATAGGTGGGGAGATGCCCGTCCGTGGCAGCCGGAGGGGAGAGACACGTCAGTCAGGATTCAGAGCGATGAGAGGACTTCCTCGACGATACCGGTTGTGGAGAAATGAGGGAATAGGAATAGAAAATCTTGGGTTTGCGCAGTTTTTGGCGGTTTTGCTTAGACTTGTCACAAGAAATGGCCTTGATTTCCGGCCCCCCAGGAAAAGGGGGTTAAGCGATGGGATGGGAGGAGACTTTCACCAAATATTTCTTCATACATCTCAAACAACCCCTCCCCATGAACCGCCACGTGTGCACAACAAAACAATAAAACAACAGGAAAACTCTTGCCTCAAACGTCAACTAAAAGTTTAATGGCGGTTGGTGTGAGGTCAATCGCCCCTTTTCAGCCTAGCGCCTGAAGCTAAAGTTTGGACTGCAGGCGAAATTTACCCCTGTCAATCGCGGTTGACTCTCGCCAAAACAGAGGCAGAGCACCGAGCAGCCAGACAACCACAACACCATAACCCTGCCGACGAGGCTCTTAACCGCCCACGTATCAACGACCAGCAGTTTGTTGTTCTCCGGCCCGCGACCATGATCCATTTACTCGCACAGTACTCGGATAGTTTCTGAAGCTGCAACCCGTGAACACCACACACAAAGTTGTTACGAAGTTGGACCATCCAAACTCCTGCAGCCATCTGCAAGGACCGAGCGCGTCTCCTCGAAAAGCACGTCCTCCTTTGCCCTGCAGAACGATACCTTCTGCAGCCTGCGCAGAGGACGGATGCGACGCGTCGAAGGCAGACACAATGGCGGAGGACGACGAGCACATAGATGTCGCAGCGCCCTCAGAAGAGCGACCCGTGACGGCGCGCAAGGATTCGCGGAAGGTTCCCGGTGGCTTTGGGATCGACGACGTGGATGACCTCTCCCCGGACAAGGAGACCTTCGAAGACTCGATGTTTGCGAACTCGGCGGCGCACGAGCAGAACAAGCGGATACTATCTCTCGATCCTACGAGCCTGCCTCCCCTCCCTCCCCCGGCGGTCGACAGCAGTTTGTTGTACAGTCAGAGTCAGAACATAGGGACCGGGAGCGATGCCCGTTTTGATGATATGGTGGATGAGAGGGAGATGCAGAGGCATTTGAATGATGTGGAGTCCAGCTTTATGCCTGTGCCGTCACCTATTGGCATAAATGCGGATGGGAAGAAGGGAGCGGATGATACCTACTTGTTTGATGGAGCACAATCGCAGAACGGTTTACAGCAGAGGTTGGAAGAAGCAGCAAGTAAGGTTACAGATTCTACCAAGCCAGACAGAACATCGTCAGAGGAGGACGAGGCATACCAGACTGCCCGTGCTGGTTCCCCAATTCCCGAAGAATCTACCGTGGTCACTGGGAACACTACATCATCACTCGAAACCATGTCCTCATCCCCTACAGCAGCGGCTGCCGCGCGAACCGTCTCAAGAGCAATATCCATGGCGAGTGCGGATGGCCAAGAGTCAATGAACAGCGAGGACGGCGAAAATTCGCAGGAGCAGACAGATAGCGAATATGATGTGGAAGCAACACCAAGGAAGAGGGCTGGCTCACACGGCTCCGACGATCGATCCACCCTCCGTCACCACCTCTCGAATCCTAGCCTCAACGCTGCAGATGCAGGCAGCACACCGGGACATGCTCTAATGAACAACAAAACCAGACAGCCAAAGTTTCTGCGAAGTCGACATACCAGCCAACATTCCTCGGTATCCTCTTTTGTCACGAATCCCGAATCACACGAAGGAAGTGATCTTACATTGGGCGCGGACTATGCTCTACAATCTGGAGGCGCAGCGCCTGGTGGTGGAATGTCTCGAAGTAGCAGCATGGCACTTTCCAGGTCGATCAGCTTAGGAAGTATGGCATCGGGCATTGGAGACTATTCTGGAGACTCGCCAGAGCGCCTGGATGGTTTAGCTACATTGACGGAAGAAGAGCTAAATCGCGAACGACGACCTCTGGACGATGTTTCTCCCCCAGCAACACCACGAGCGACGAGCAGGACGCTCGCTGCTCCTACGGATACGATTATCGCTCGCCATGTACGAAATGTCCATGTCCCGGAATCGGTTGCACAAGAGTACCGAGACAAGAATGGGGCCTCCCCGAATAAACGTACTGGATTTGCGGTTTCTACACTTGGTCGGAATGGCAAGAATCTGACGTTGAAGGAACAGAGCAGTACCATCGAGCGGCTGTCGAAGGAGAACTTTGACTTGAAACTCAAAGTCATGTTCCTCAGTGACCGACTGGACAAGCTTTCGGAAGAGGGTGTGAAGGAGATGATATCCGAGAACGTGGAGCTGAAAACTGGACTGGCCGTGATGCAGCGAGACAACAAGGCTCTGAGGCGAAAGGTCAAAGAGCTTGAGAAGCAATTAAAAGATGAGGAGGACCGGCCTAGCACAGCTCAGTCTGGAACTTCAACAGGACATCCCAGCCCTAAATGGTTTGACCAAGAAGGCGCACAAGAACGAGAAGAAGAGCTGCTGTATCTTCGGGAACGTGTCGAGGAATACGTGACCGAAATTGAGAAGCTGCGAAATGATAGCATCGCTCGAGAGAATGAAAAGCGAAAGCTGGCTGAAGTTGTTCGACAAATGGGTGAAAGCCGGGGTCAGAATGTCGAAGCTCGAGAAGAGATGGACGTCTGGAAAGATCTTCTGGAGCAAGAGACTTCACGCCGAGAGCAAGCTGATGAGGATAACAAGAAGCTTCGAGAGGAGATCTTCCGCCTCAAGACTGAATCGAGTTCAGGCACCGGTCTTTCTGGACTCAGCCACACGACCAACATCTACAATATTACGAAGAAACGCACACTCTCGCCTTCGCGACCAAGATCCGGAATGTCAGAGCGAATTGATGATCGAAATGGCAATCTCAGTGCTGCCAGTACTCTTGTTGAAGAGCTCAGGAGAGAGAGCGAGCAACTGAAACATGAGAATGCTGAACTTCGAAGAGAAGTCGGTGCTCAAACTTCAATGTTGACATCTCGAAACCGTGAAAAGGAACGCCTATATCAAGAGATCGAAGACTTGAAACTCGGCCAGCGGAGAGGAGGCGGTTCTGTGGCCGGTGATAGCATTCTCGAGCGCTCCGCTTCAAGGGCGCATGAACGGTCGCTTTCACGGGCCAGCGCTGGGACGAGACAAACCAACATGACTGATGCCGAGCGGGAAGACTTCGAAAATAAGCATGCCGAGCTTCGTGACAGAATCAACAGTCTGAAGATTCACAACCAAGATCTTCAGCGCGAATTGGAGTCCTGTATGGAAGATTTCGAAACTGCAGTCGAACAGAAGAAGCAAGCCGAATCTCTCGCAAATGAACTCCAAGAAGCACTCGAAGTTGCTGAGAATGATCTGATTACGATGCAAACTGATCGAGACGAGGCATTGCAAGGGCAGGAAGAAGCTGAGATCATGTTTGAGTCGCTACGAAAAGAAGCTCAAGAAGAACTTGATGGCTTTGCTGCCGAAGCTGAGGAGGCCAATGCTGAGATTGAACGTCTTCAAACGGAGCTGGCTGATACTACCGAGAACTTCAATGCGCTGCAAAATGAGATGCGGGAGATGAGCGAAGGGATTGTTCGATTGGAAGACGATCATGAAAGCAAAAATAGACGAATCCAAGAGCTGGAGCGAGACCTTGACGACGCTAATCGCGAGCTCGAACAGATGGAGAAGAACCTTGTTGAAGCGAATGGCAAAATTGATCGCTTGACTGTCCAGCAAGAATCTAGCCAGGGCGAGATTGCTTTCTTAAGGGAAGAGCAAGATGGTGACAAGATCAAGATTGGTGATCTTGAAGCAGCGGTCAGAAACGCCAGCGAGAGCCTGCAAGAAGCAAGAGAGCGTATCAAGGAGCTTGAGCAACGCCTTGCCAACGAACGCCACCAGCGAGAGGTGATTGCTGGCCAGGAGAAGCAAGAGGTTCAACAGTTCATCAACGAGCTCAATCGGGAAGCTTCTGGTGCCAAGGACGAGGCAAGAAGACTTCGGAAGAGCCTCACTTCGCGGGAAGTCGAAGCTGCGGAGTGGAAACAGAGACTTATGGAGCTCGAGAGCAATTTAAGGGAGGCTCTTGGCGACCTCAATGGGACGAGGTCAAGCCTTCTAAACGTAGGATCTAGTTTCAAATCTATGGCGGTTAATACTAACTACTTTCAGTCTATTGCGAAACTCCAACGAGAACTCGAAAACACAATGCGGGATCTCGATGCCTCCAAGGCAGCCGGTACTGAGAAAGACCGCCTTATCAATCAACGAGATTCTCTCCTCGAAACCCACGCCCTTGAATCCCGGAAGCTCGCTGATATGCTTGACAAGGAACGGCAAATGCATCGGAATACGAAGCATCAGTTTGATACTATCCAAAAGACCTCACAGCACAAAGAGAGAAATCTTTCGCAACAAGAATCTCGTATTTTGGAGCTTGAAACCCGCCTCAAAGCTGATCGTGCGAAGATTTCAACATTGGAAGCCTCCTTCAAGAGCAGTATGGAGGAGCGCAACAACCTACTCCTCAACTTATGGAACCGCCTGAGTGCACTCTGTGGCTCGGACTGGGCACACAACAACAGCCTCATCAATGGGCGCGCCTTGCCATCGTTAGAAGCCGTGGGTACCATGCTCCCTGGCTTTTCCAAGAATCTCTTCGCGGCAGTCAAGACCATCGAGACTCTGGTGGGAGATTTCCGAAATCGCATTCGGGCGGTTGAGAAGGATCTTTGGAAAGAGTATCAAACCCTAGAAACAAACCTCGATGTGCGCACAAAGCGACTCGACCGTCTGGAGACCATGGCAAGAAGTGGCATCCCTGCACTCAACGGCGATGCAAAGGCGGAAATCACGAGATTAAGAGATGCGAACAGAATGCTGAAGACTGAGATCTCTACCCTACGAGCAGCGAATGATGTCCGAGCTGGAGTCTACGCGGACCCAAGTCCCAGCCCCTCTGTCCCAACTGGACCGCGCAATAAGGCAGGTGACAAGAGTCGCAATTCAACGCTTACAAGGCATCAGTCTGCCTCCGCGGTCGAAACTTTCGAACGCATGTCAAAATCACGTGCTGGCAGCTCTTCTGGTGGAGGAGAGAAGGGAATGATGGGCGCTGGCGGCATGGGCGGTGAGGACTACAAGCCTGATCTCAGGTGGCAAGTTCGGCTCCAGGAACTGGAGTACAAGTTGAAGGCGGAGCGGGAGGCGCGGTTAACGGACCGCTTTTCGGCGAAGCAGCGGCTGGAGGAGAAGAGCAGGGAGAATGCGGAGTTGGCGAAGGAGGTGGAGAGGAGTAAAGTGCGGGCAGAGATGGGACGGTAACACCGTAGCGAGGGGCAGGGGGCAGATGTTGAGAGGGGGGACCTGTGTACAATGTCATATTATGCCTAAGATGAGAAGCGGCGTTTGCGGGGAGCATGGTATGCGTGTTTTGCGTGTGCTTTTTGGGTGAATGCATTCATGGGCCGATCGCTGCTTGGAGGTGAGTGGGATAGAGGGTGTATACTAGAGGTTAATTGGGGGTTTCTATCAGTGACGAATGGATGACTGCATGCTATTAGCCATGTGGCAGGACCCGATTTTGACCGTGAAGTCACGATATGAGTTAAATTTCACTCCTGGATAATGACTTAGCCCCCCGTGGTTTGGGTTTGTATGAAATTTAACTTTACTATTCGTTACTCTTTCCAAACTATCGTATTTCTGGGTTTTTGGGGATCACTGCAAGTTCAAAGGGAGGAGTTAGAAGAGGCGAAAGCTTCCTCGATCTGAGAAAATAGTAACTTTGTTTGCTATAACGAATATTTCCGGGATATGAAAGAGAATGACTAGCTAACAACATACTCCTGTTCCTCTTTCTATTTCAAAAGAGTCTGCAGCTTCTCTTTCTCATCACCACTCATGATACTCTTCTCCTTGCCCCCAAGATGCTGCCTGCCATACTCCTTTTTCCCCGCTTTGGCCAGTGCCTTTGCCTTTACCACGCTCCAGTGCGGCCCCAACACGTCGTTTCCAACGGCAGTCTCCACAGCTTCAAGTCCGAGTTTCATACGGGTTCCTCCAAGTGCCAGGACTAAATGAGCATCCGGTGTAGTAAGCACGATATGGGCAGCCTTGGCATGCGCACCACTGTGTGCCCCAGTAATGAAGACCGTCGTGCTGCCTTGCACCTCTGCCTCAGGTAGTGGACCAGCCTCACCGACTGAAGGCAAAGTCCAGCGGAGAGCAACCGAAATCTCAGAGACACCAGAGATTGGGAACAAGGCTCCATCACCCCCACGCAACAGGGTTAAGGACTTGGTGACAGACTTTTTGGGTCCGAGTTCGGTCAAGGGGTTCTCATCCACACACCCAATGATCGATCTGAAGCTGCGCTTCGTTCCATGTGCATCTTTCACATTCCCCTGAAGGCAAGTAGATTTCAAATCGATTCTTGCTGGAATGGTTACCTCCCTGTCGCTGTTGTTGGTGAGCTTGAGTTGCACGCGGACTGGTGCCCCAAGCGGAACCTCGGTGAGCAGTGGAGTAAGCTCGAGCTTCAGGTCAGGCATGTCGAGTGAGAGAGCGCGGTCGTCAGGGGTTATAAGAGGGTCGAAGTCATTTGAATCGCCAAATGGGACCCCACCTGGGCGGATAAAGATATCGGGCCAGTGACGAAGACGCTTGAGGTCATTGTCAGCGAAGGACCACTTGATATTGTTGGGGAACGGATTGGCTGCGGTCCCAGCGGCAGCAATCACATCGCTAGTGTTCATGAATCCCAGGTCGACGGTATTGTGCTGGAGCCCAAGGGCGTGACCAAGTTCATGGACTGCGGTTCGGAAATGCGGTGCTTTGGCCAGACCAAAACGCATACCGCTGACAGTCCCATATCCAGGGTCGATGATCCAATGAGTTGAGATCCCAAGGCCTTCACGAGGGATGTGGTTGGAATCCGTCGCGCCAGAATCGTACATGATGCCTCGCGGGGTGGAGTCGATCAGGTGAACAGCAAGGATATGGTAATGCCATTCGAAGTTGAGGTTTGTTGGCTCGCGGTGCGCAATCATCGTATCGTTCATCTCGTTATCGGCCCAGCTTTCACCAGTTACCTCTGGGACATTGCGCTCACTGACGTGGATCTTGAGGTCATATCCAATTGACTCTCCGACGGTCTGCCAGTTGTGGCCATTCCCGCTATCCAATGGGGCTTCCGAACCCGTCTCCGTATCAATCTCAACTGTGGCTTTGCGAAGGAATTTGGAAAGCCACCCCATCTTGAGATGACCCATGATGACATTAGTACCATCCTGCTTTAAGTCGCCCTGCAGGTAGTCGGTGGAAGATGGATAGCCGGCTGGCGCGGAGGTCCATGACATAGTTGCTGTGCAGTTGATAGGCTGGGGAGACCACGTTCCGGCACCATTGGAGGTTGGAGTGAACAGAAACATCTGGAGTCCAAGCTGAAAAGAATTCCCCAATGTTATGTTTTCAAGGATCTTGGTAACACGAAGATAGTAACGATAGTTACCTATGGCTTGAACTGGAATTCCATTTGCGGGGTTAGGAGGAGGGAGCATAATGGTTTGCGGGGTTGGGAAGGGGATCCTGATCGTGGGTCGTTGGTAGAGGTCGCCGCTCGCTCTCCGACCACCAGTAATGGCTTCGACGCGGATGGTGCCATCGTAAGCTACCAATGGAGATCCAAGTGGGGCATAATTGAGCATCCAAGCTCCAGTTCTGACCGATTTGAAATGAAAAGGAGGCCAGTGAGGCGGGGGGTGAAACGGCGGGAAAGTAGGAGGAGCTGGTGTATCGCCGTCTGAGGTTGAAGTCCCAGTCTCAGTGGGGTAGGGAGGGATAGCTAGCATTGGGGGGGGAGGTGGATTCATGGTGATGGGGATTGGTTGGTTGATGAAGATGGTGTTCTTAGGAAGTACTTTGATGAGCGTTTCTTGCAATGGGGGAATGTCTGAAGAAGCAGAGGAGATGTCCGGAATCTGGGCCATTATTTATATGTATCTTGAGTGACACATGCAGACCAGGAGAGGCTGCAATATTTTGGCTTCACTTGGACACATATCTGTTTGCGTGTGTCGGGCGGAGACTTGAGATTGTGGCCTCATCAGTGCGTCGCCGGATCCTCTACAGCCAGCCTCAGGGTTCTTGGACATCCATCTGTTTGCATATTTTCGGCTGAATCTTCCGCTTGTGGCCTCTTCATGTGATACTCCACCACCAGCCAGCGGAAGATTCCAACAAATCAGCTCGACATGAATGTAAATTCCTGGGTTTACACTCACGGGGACCTTCCGGAGTCTTGCTCCTGCTGATGGGCTGAAACACCGAATGCACGCGTACTGAAAGCCACAGACTGCCTATGGATTTCATTGGTGCACAGATAATGGAAGTTATAGCAGGCAGCTGGAAGTAATAAATGGTGTGACGTATTTAGGGCCAGTAGCACTTGTGGAGTCAAATTTGTTGAAATAGGTTTCTTATTTGCGGATCAGGGTTGAGTTTCGGTCCTAGATTATCTAATATTGGTACAGGACAAAAGGAAGGCAATCGGGGTCCATATGCAAAATCTAGCAATGTACGAGAGCAAACAACATCGAAAAGCTTTGTCCCAAAGTCCTGCAACAGAATTGTTAGGCAACTTCGCCATTGTAACCTCGTGCATGAGTTAAATAATCGACAAGATCGAAGGCTTTCTGTTGAGAGCGCAACACAAACAACCGGCAGCTGAGAGAATGAGACATGATGTCTGGCCTCAGCCTTACGAGCCCTTTTCCATTCGTAAAGATTTAAATGCCAAGATATTGGGCTTTACGAGGATCACCTCGATGATAGGCCTCGCGAAGTTATCTGATCTCTTAATGGCCCAACTCTAACCACGGTATGCTCGAGATCGAGAAATGGACTTCGTGGTTGCTCAGCTTGGTGAGGGCCAAGAGAGCCAAGGCACGGCTAGCTGCCGCTTTGCTTTCTTACCGTCGAAGACTTCTTCTGATTTGTTAAATAATGCATGAAAAAAGCATTCATTAGTAATATTTTGTCGTCGGGGTCAGATGCAGGTGCGGACAGTCTTGTCACGATGGCCTGACCGGCTCCCCGTGTAACGAGCGTTCAGAGCCAGCTAGAATGCAATGCACCACGCTGAATCTGGCGGAATTTGGCTAGTTGATTAGGATGTCAACGGCGTGATCAGATCACCTAGGAAAAAATATCTTGGCGCTTTCCTATACCAGCTCCTTGGAACCATAGACATGCACGGGTAGCACTACGAAAACTTTGGTTTTGATGAGGCAGTTCACGTGATGTTCCTTCTTGCAAATTAATTTAGAAATAGAACTCGTGATAGTCGCACGGAAACCCAATTATATAGAAGCACCAGAAGGGTGCAAGCTATTATAAAACAGCCAATTATAATTCTATGTTCACAGCATGTGAATCAAACCCACGTGACCACAGCCCCGCGGGTATGAAACTCCAAAACATAGACTCCACTCTTTAAAGATGATAGAGCACCTCATCTAAATAGAAACAGTGAATCAATTTGTTTCGAGACCTTTTAAAAGGGGGTGTTATTTTACCAATTGCCAATTGTCAACTCGTGACAAATGTTGCACTTAACATAATCCATCATTGAATTGATTGAGTCTGAAGTCTGATCTAAGTGAGAGAAGAAAAAATTGAAGCTATGTTACCGCGGGAATGAGACGAGCTTAGAAGCTAGTGCAGCAGTAATTTCCGAGGTAAATCACGTGAAATACCTCCTATATTAACCTCTAACAACTCGGATCTAGTAGCATGCCAAGCTAAGAATCAGGTATAATTAAATCAACCACGTTTTCGACTTAGGTACAACAGCCCTTGCAGACATGGCCGCTCTGGTGAGATCCTCGGGGAATTTTAGAACCTGTGTCACGGAATATTCTTTCCGCGAGATTACTAGTTCAAACAAGTAATATATATATAAGCAATGTACGTAAATGCTGCATATGTGCGAGTAATATATAGTAAGGCAATATATATAAATATAGCTTTAATATAAAAAGAGGAAAAGTATACTTGCTGTAAATAAGGCTTAGAACTCCCAGAATTAGCACGATAGCTAGTTACTAGTCCAAACTTTGCACATCAGAATGGATTTGTAGTGCTCATCTGTGGGTTTCCGTCACTTGTTTACATATCCACTAACCGGCAGTCTATCTGTTATATATGGGTTCCAATATCTCAAAGGCGGTAGCGCCCCTACCAAGCGCTTTGTTGAAATTGGTACGCTACCATAGCTAGCTTACCAGTCCTTCCAGTACCAGGTTCAACCACTAATTTAGGGTTCTCCACTCTCATTTGTCATGCGTCACTCGCCGAGCTTACCAAGCTTACTAGTATATCGTCATTCTGATTACCTTTGGTTTATCAGCTGATTGATAATGTATCGGAGAAAGCGGGTTCGGCATCACCGGTATCGCCGAAGGGTAATGGGAATAAATCCCTTACTTTGGACACTTTTCCTCTGTTTCCAGAACTCACTCTTCTGTATCTAGTCATTCTGCAGTCTGTCAACCTTCAATAAATCGATTTTCCATTAATAAATCGATTACTTTTCAATACGCTTTCTCCCTCAGCCATTTCACAGGGAGGCATATTCTTGACTGAGTCTCGATATGCCTTCCCCCTTCCTCCCCCTTTCCCAGGATTTGGCAGCACAACTGCCTCTCTTTCAACAGCCTCTCGTTCTTCTTATATGTTACCACCCGGTATCCCAAATCAGCTAGTATAATCGATCTAGTAGATCCTTATATAGGGCCCCTAGGTAAAAATAAAAAGTAAATGCACGTGATTGGCTCTTACACGAGGAAGTTTTAATTTTTAGACAAAAAATTCCAAAAGTATATGGTTTTGACTATAGGTAAGACATTGTGTAGTCTCGTGAAGAACACCAAAACTTCGATTTTAATATGGCACACTGTGATTTGCTCGCTTCCTCCTCTCCTCTCCCCGCAAAAAGCATACAATGCCCAGGTCATCTCTCAACCCTCTTGATTCTATAAAGATATTTTATTCACACCCTCAGTTTCAAAAACCATTATCGTCTTCTGCATCATTTATACCCACTTCACAGCTTACAAAAGCGAGACTTATTCAACTCCCCCTCTCCCACAGATCACCAACATGGGTTTCCACCTCCTAATCGTCACCACAACCCTTTGGGTATGGCCATGGCTACTACGCAAGAATGGGTTGTAGAAAGGAGATTGGGAAAAGAAAAAGTCTAGAATAAAGAGGTGTCGAGACCTCTCGCTAGCTCTTGACTAATTAGTAATGAGTACAATTCTAGAATACTCTTAACTCGTCACTTCCTTTTCTATGAGCGGAAACGTCGCGCGCTAGTTATAAACTAGCCAACGATTTTAATTCAAACTAGGAGGTTCGTCTTTATCTCTTCCTCGTCCATCTCAAACTCCACCCTCTGGCAGCCACAATAATTCAAAGCGAAGCGCACCAATTATAATGTCTACCTCTTCTCGAGACTCCATTCCAGTCCCTCCCATCAAGTCCCGAAAGCGGGCAAGTACTCGTGCACTTCTCGGTGATGAGTACCCGGTTGATGACACCAAATTTGTCGAGCCTCCAAAGCCACTTCTTCAAACTTCCGATTACACCAAGACCAGATTCAAAGAAGGCCTTATTTTCGCAGAGACACTTTTGCGGAACACAAAGCGAAAAATATCTCCGATTGGTATGCACTGCGCGACCATTTACAAAGAAGCATGCGCCCGCCTTCTGGATATGAATGAAGACGGAGAAATTTACGAGGAGGAGCCCGAAACCCTTGATGCTGTTCGAAAGGAATGGATCTCAGATTTGAGGGTTTACGAGCGTGAGATGCAGTATATGGCATGCTTGAGCCTAACCCACACCGAAAACGCCCAACAGCTGGAAGATGAGATCATCCAGCTCCAACGTTACAAGTTCTACGCCAGATATGGAGACATTTTTGAGCAACTGTGCAAACAGTTGAAGAAGAATGCCGAAAGGCTGCAGGTTGCAGGATGGCAAGCATTACAATCAAAGTATTGGTCCCGGATCCAATACAACCTCCAAACAGAGGAGAAAGCGTTCCAGATGTATCTGAAGGGCGAAAAGTGCGAAGAAGAATTCCCGACCCATCTGGCAGTGAAATATGCTTGCCAGAGTGTTGGTTTCGAAATGGACGAAATGCTCGTTATCATTAAGCAGTACGCTACCCGAAATACGCTCCTCCATTCGAATATCACCCCTCTCATCAAAGAGGGCAAGTTTGATACCTTGAAGTCAACTCTCAACCAAGATCTCTCCGATGTGAACAACTTGACCACCGAGGCCGAGGGTGTCACAGGCGATATACTAAAGGCAATCATCTTCAAAATGATCCAAACCTGGTACACCATCTCCCCAGGAGATGAGGGAAATCCGGAAGCATGGATTGCTTCTGCTGCTCTTGTCAAATGTCGCCAGGACCTTAAAGGCGGAGATCTCGCAAAGCAAGCTGAGTTAGAGAAAGACATCGTGGCGTCAGTCATCAAATCACTTCGACAGCGGGAAAAGGATATCGAAGCAGAGAAGATCATTAAGGATGTTGCAGACGTCAAACTTGTTGACCCCCAGAAAACAAAAAGGGTTGCGTCTTGCAAGCTCGAATATGAGCTCGGTGAAGCCAAGAAACTGAAGAAGAAGTGGGCCACACTTGGCACTATTTCCGCCGAGTACAAAAAGTTCTCTGAAGAGTATATAAAAGAATTTGGAGCCTTGGAAGCACCCGCGGACGTTGTAGAAGACCCTTTGTTGAACGAAGACTGAGAGCATGGTACGGGGCGATGAATGGGGTGAGATCAGTAATGAATATAGGAACTTTGCTCTTTCCTATCGAAGGTTCATTGCAATTTATCAGAGACTACGTGAGAAATGCATCCACTTGTAAGTTGTCGAACTCGTAGTTAGATGGATGTGCAAAGATGCCTACTTGGCTCTCTGTATTGCCCGATGAGTTGGTGGAGAAGGCAAAGTGCGGCGTGGAAGGAGTGGTGTTTATTGATATGGGAGGTAACATCGGGCATTAGTGTGCGGATTTCAAGGTAAATTGCCGGAGGTGGAAGGCAGGGTGGGGTTGCAGGATCTGCCGTACGCGGTTGATATGGCGCTCAAGACAGAAGGTGTGGAGAATACGGTGCATGATATATTCACACTGCAGACTGTCACAGGAGCGGTCTCCGTCAAACCTCGTCTTTCCTCTTTTCTATCAAACCGAAACCCAAACCGTTCAGTACTGGTTATCTCCCCAGATGCGAAGTTTTACTACCTCCGCGCCGTCCTCCATGACTTCCCAGACGGCCAATGCCAAGAGATGAGAAATATCTTCTAGATTGATTTGACGATGATGGCTTGTGTGGCTGCACGCGAGAGGACGAAGGGCGCGTGGGAGGAGTCGTTGGGGAGTGTGAGGCTGGTGATTGAGGGGGTCTGGGCGTATACATAATATTATTTTTCGAGATTAATAAGGAGCTAAAATTGCGGTAAGAGGAAGAGTTTATCCCGAATAAGTAATAATTAAAAGAGATAAAGCTTTAATAGCTAATAAAAGTCTCATTAAAAGAATTTAGGGATTTCGCAAATATTTCTTAAAAGAAGCTTAAATGCCTTACTCCCTTACGCCGAGTGTTTACGAGAGCGTTATGGCTGCGAAGAGGAGGTAGAGAGGGGAAGCATTTTTAGATATATTCGTTACGAGGAACTCGAGGAAGTTGGCGTTAATCTTGAAGAAAAGATGATTATGAAGACAAGCTTTTGCCCCTGAGCCACTCGCTAAAATCGCTTCGGGCCACCCCTGCTTCCCCGCGATGATTCAAATCCAAAGCAAATAGAACTCGCAAGGGTAAAAAGAAAGTTCGGACTTTCTAACGCGCTTTGCAGGATCACAACATGGCGTTTCCTCTGAATGGACCGTTCCTTTGTGCATTCCAATGCCGATATTTCTTTGGGAGGGGGGCTAAAAGCGAGCTCTCTGACACGAAGACAGTTGCTGATCCACCAGATCCTCGGTCAGCCTTCGCCACGACATCCCACCCCTGCAAAATACGGCTGCGCCTTACGGAGGGTGAACCAGGCAGGATAAATGCCAGCGTTCACCAATTTGTTCTTTGTCGCCTGTGCATTGTTCATGCCTCTGGCTTCCCGGTCTGCTGATGTTGCGACGATACATGCGCAGGTCAAATTGGCCTGGACACACCCTACCCAAGGCCAATGACGCGAAAGGAGGGCCACCAGCTGCTGGTGTTCTGGTAGGTCCAATACCAAGACTTGAGGCTGTGCAGGGCTGACTCGACTGCAGTAATTTGGTCGCGACTTCCATCTGGATTGCTCTCAACTTCGAGACTTCTGGCGCGCTTGGTAAGGCGAGACATCCTACTTGAAGCACCAAAGCTAATTGGGGCGTGGAGAACGGCCATACCATCTGTTCGTCCTCGTCCTGGGACTGTCGGGCCTCTTCTGGTCAATCCTCAACGGGCAGCGTCCAGTACCAACAGAAGAGGAGCAGGCAACAGACAACGATAATGCCTATTCGAAGCTACAATTCGAGATCAAGAGGCGACAAGATGCGGGAAGGAGCAGTGTGGGACGGATTTTGCGGTACCCCTTACGAACCTTCAGCAAATCGAAACCGTCCTCCATATCCCTGGTAGCCTGCGTTGTTGCCAGGGCGCTCATTCTCCGCAGAATTGTGCGAGGTGTAGAGTGCTCTTGGGATGGAGTTGAGGTACGATTAGAGTTTGAATGGTGCACGCCGGACTGGAACTAGAGCTGACGACGACGACCCACAGATATATCTACCCCTTCTCCTCTCCCTCCTCGAGCTCCTCACGAAAGACTACCGAATTCCTTCGATCCCTCGATTCGAAAAGGCTCCCCAACCTCCCCGACACTACCACCTTCGGCATGTATCATTGGTTGCGGTTTGGGTGTTGTCGGCGCATGGCACAATCTCGTTCTCGGTGGACCATACCACATACATTTGCCCCCAGGCAAACCATTTGCGAGCGTGGATCCGGACGCTACAATTCCTAGGGGTAGTACTGGATGCTGTTATTATCAACACGGTATCGAAAGTGTCAAGAGAGGGCCAGGAATCTGGCAAGCCATGGGCGCAGCTCAGTCAATTGGCTTTGGCGACTACTGGAGTCCTGGCGGCCGTTGCCTGTCTTTTCCTATGGTGGAATCCACCATACAATCATACGCCACGGTACCTTAATTGGTCTCTCGTTCCAGACTCCAAGACAATCCTCAGCATGGCTTTCGCCGGCTTGCTCTCTACTAATTTTGTGTTATCCGCAGTCTACTTGTTGGCCGAGCTTCGCTCCACTTCGATTGCAATTACGACCACTTGCGTTTGCCTCTACATATATCATATCTTTGCCTCGAACTCTGAATACTCGGTCATCCCCAAGCGGCCAATTAATTTGCTGTGCTTTACTGCTTTTGGGGCCGCCTTTGGCCTTATTCGATTGGAACGAGAAGCTTCAAAGTCCCAACAACTCCTGTCAATGAATCAGAAGACCTCAAGAGCTTTGCTTTATTTTTATGTACTCTGCAGCACCTCATTCTATGGGCAGAAGTATGTGCTCTATTCAACAGCGGCCGAATTTCCAAACCACCCAATCACTGCTCTCATCTCGAGTGCTCGATCAATTTCATCGAATTGGGAGAAACAAGCGACAAAAAGCATGTCGATAGCAGAGGCTGTGGAGGAGTACCAGTCGCGGTATGGGATACCTCCACCTCCTCATTTTGATAAGTGGTGGGATTACGCAATCGCCCGAAAATCGATCATCAAGGACGACTTTGGGCAGATCCACGAGGATCTCCTACCATTTTGGGGCATAAAGCCATCTGAAATTCGGAATCTGACAGCACACATGCTCGAACGACCCTGGACTAAAGTTGGTGGGCTGCGAATATCAAACGGGACAACTGCTCTTGGACCACACATACCACCAACTCATCAATGGATGGTAGAAGGGGCCGCCGACATGATCAACAAGTTCGTTGAATGGCTTCCAGATATGGATCTCGCGTTCAACATCAACGACGAGAGCCGCGTTACTGTGCCATGGAAAGTAATGGAAGATCTCAAAAAACATGCAAAACTATCCAGACAAACGCTAAATCGAACCAAAACACTCCGGTCATTCAGTACCAATAGGGAGTGGGCCGGCCTTTTCATGGAGCCTGAACCGCCGTACCCTTCAGACTTTCCGTCCCCGCATTTTAAAGAGGCCTCGCTGAGCTCTTCTTTCATGGACTATGGGGTAATAGGATGCCCACCTGACTCTCCAAGCCAAAAACAAACATGGTGGAACAAGAATTCGTTCTGCCACGACTGTGCAAAACCACACTCAATCGGCCCTATCCTAGCCAACTGGACACTCTCTGGCTCCCTCTGCCACCAACCCGACCTCGCCAACTTCCATGGCTTCCACCTGTCTCCCTCCCCCTTCAAACCAACCAAAAAGCCTTTTCCCATCTTCTCCCAATCTAAGATCCCAACATTCAACGACATCGTCTTCCCTTCGCCATGGAACTACGAAGACAAGGTGACCCACAATGTCAGCCACGACATGCCCTATTCCGAGAAAGATCGCACCGTCTTCTGGCGTGGCGCTACATCGGAAGGCTTCGCTATCCGTGGCACCTGGCAAGGAATGCAACGCCAACGCTTCGTGCATCTAGTAAACTACACAGCTCCCGACTCAACTGTCAACCTCCTCCTCCCAAACAAAGGCAACGGCATGGGCTACAATCAACAAGCCACGACCATCTCCCAAATCACGTCCGTAACGAATATCAGCGTCTCTTTCGTCGGAGAACCTAAGCGATGCTACGGTCCGGACTGCAATCTCGAGATGGAAGAATTCACGTTTGGGGATAGTGTCGATTTCCAGGATCATTGGAAATACAAGTTCTTATTTGATCTCGATGGGGCTGGGTTCTCCGGGCGCTTCTTGCCATTTCTCGAGTCTCGAAGCTTAGTGTTCAGAGTCGCGGGATTTAGACAGTGGTTTGATGAGAGGTTAGTGGCTTGGAGGCATTTTGTGCCTGTTGATGGGAGACTACATGGGGTGTGGCATTTGATTGCTTATTTTGGGGGAACGGAGAGGGGGCTCAGAGGTGATGGCAAAGGGCATGATAAAGAGGGTGAGAAGATTGCGGAGGAGGGGAGGGATTGGGCGGCAAGAGTGCTGAGGAAGGAGGATATGGAGGTGTATATGTTTAGGTTATTGTTGGAGTGGGCGAGGATAGTGGATGATCGGCGGGAGGAGTTGGGATTCGATTTGAATCTGTTTTTAAAAAGTGTATAGTTGGATATCAATGAATTGTTTTGGAAATCTCTCGGCACAGATTGTGCAGTTTGGGTCGCACCGCAAGTGGTCGTGTCGCTCCCACTCCCTCCCTTTACTCATTCAGCAGCAGGCAGGTCATGCGACAGAAAGCAGCTTCGCCAAACGACTAAACTTCAACCACCCATCAACCTCGACCCCGAACGACTCTGCTCTTGAACACTTCATCGGCCTTTCCATCCTGGTCAGATTTGCCAAGCACACAAACTTCACAAACCTCAGGGACTGAGAACCTCCTCAGCTTCGAGTATCAGAACATTATCATCAACTTTCACCAACCCGCTTCATTAGCCTAAACAAATCCCGGCTACTCTGTTCTTACAAAGACATCAACCTCCCTAGCAACTCCCCCCTCTGGCGTTGTGGATCCGCTATCATAATCACAATAATTGGCGAGCTCGCTCATCGCCTCCTTCATCGTTCCGTCCGTCGGTCTGTATGCCTCCGGACCTTTTTTGCCTTGCCAGGGCGGCAAGCAGATGAGAGACAGAAAGAAAAGACTGAAGTTGATCAAGAAGTAAACAATGCTCTGAACCTGATCGGTGAAGGTGTTGGAGCCAGGCCTTCCCTGGATATTAGCATGGCGTTGGCAGAGCAAATTCGCTGCTCTCCATTCGGTGAGAGAGTTTCCAGATGTGCCTGAAATTTTGTTGCTGCTACGGTATCGAATAGCTGGAAACTGTTGCTCTCATATGATTAATGTAATATACGATGTGGCTGAAGGAGGTCAGGATCTCCTTTACCTAACACAAGAAAAAACATCATCCTCTCCACTGACGGGAAAGCGGCAAGGGCAGAGCTTCCTCAGATTTTTTGCAGAACGAGCATCCGCTTGTTGTTGAAGTTGAATGGAATTTGAAACGCCCTTGGAAGTGTATCGCTCAGCTGGCTCCAGAGTCCCCAGTGTGTCAAATGATTAGATTAGATTAGATTAATGGCCATTAATCTAATCTATTCACCAAAAAAGAACTCATTAATCATATTCTATTCACGTATTAATTAAATTAATTATGATTAATCTGATTAATCTGATTAATCCGCACGTGACCTTGACACGTGATAGCACTAGCCGAATCTGGTATCGCTCCTGCCCGCTCTGGCTCTAGTGCTACCCTAATTAGGGGCAGTAACGCTTAGTAAGCGAGCCGAAGCCAAATAATAAAAGGGGGAATATAGAGATTCGAGGAGAATAATTAGTTTATTATTATTAAAAGTTATTATTTAGCTACTACTATATAAGCCCTAGCCTAGTTTAACTGGGCTACTTAATAGGTACCTTAGTTATTTAATAATTATTAAGTAAACGTTAATTTACTATAGTTAGGTAATAACTTAATTTGATTAATTATTCTAATCTGATTAATTATTTGACATACTGAGAGTCCCGGGTGGCCCGTTTAACCAAAGTATACGAAGATTGCGGCATAAAGTGACGGGATTGCAGGTGCATGCATAAATATAGGGCCACTAATAGAGCCTGTAGTGTCTCACCGAGCCCTGTAAGCCCTATAATTAGTCTGAATCGGAGGCGTAAGGCCCCTGAAGCCCACTGAAACCATATATAGCCCGATTAGGAGGCTACATTAAGCCACAGGCTTTCTATCCCTTAGCCCCTGTGTTTTTAGGCCTGCGTCCGCAATCAGTAGCGGGGTAAAGTAAGCTTTACCCCCCCTTCTCACCCCCCCCCCCCAAGGCTCCCCCCCCCCAGGGCTCCCCACCACTCACTCTCTTCTTTACTCTCACTTCCCATATAAAAGCTAGTACTTATGGCTACTTTTAGTGGTTTATTTGACTTTCCAGACTTATCAGATAGCCAATCAGAGCTTTTCTCCCCTCCTGTGAGGCACTTAATAGCAGGGTGATGCACAAGTAGTCAAGGTAAGTAAGCTGTAGAGTGACGCTTGCAAGTGTAACTGATTCCAAGAATTGATTCCAACAAAACACTAATCGATGCCCCTTTCCAAAGCTAGGAGCGTCTCCCTATATATTCCCTAGTGCTTAGCCAAGCATGCGAAGCCTTTTACTTAACTAGGAAATGCGAGCCGATACGATCCGTACGATTCCGATCGATCCGTACGATTTCAATCGCAAGCCTTACCCAAAATAGGAAACCAGATCCACGATATCTGACACCTGTCCATGCGCCATCACGTGTGCCCATCACACCTCCTGATTCTGACAAATCAGAATATAGCAAAGTTATAGAAGATAAAGAGAATGCGTAATATAACTTACCGTCAGATTCAGATTCAGAAGACGATAACTTAATTATACCAAGCTTTATACTCCCTCTTTGTCCTCTTCCTAGTACTTCTATAGCCTTTATTATATCCGAGATTATATATAAAGAGTACTTAACTAGTACGAGAATCAAGGCTATTTATATACTTAAGTCAAGGAGATCTGCAGGTAATATTAAGAAGTTACAAGAATATCCAGAACCCGTATTTATAAGCTTGCAAGCCTTACTAAGTAATATGGATAGAGAGAGAACGAGAATATGCCCTTGGAAATATATTATATTCTTAATTAACCCTGATCTAGCCGGCTAGTAATCTTACCTACTATAATTAAGTATATCTTGCAAGTTATACTTTGAAATTCGACTATATAAGGCTTTTCTTATACTATAATTATAAAGGAAATCAGAAAGAGGGGTTATAAGGTAGTTATATAGATAGTTTAGAAAGTCCTTACTATAGCTGGCTATTTTTTAATATAAACTAATAGTAAAGCCTGGCTTAAATGAATTTAGTAAAAAGGAGTGGCTAGATTAGTATTTAGTATATGAGAATTAGGAACTTAAAGACTAGAAAAACGTGATTTTTTCAGACGAGATAGCAGTTTAATTAGGGGATATAAGAGGAAAAAGATAGGTATAGAGGCTTCCAGGGGAAACATATAATAAGTATTATATTAGAAAACGCTAGAAGAGCTTCTCTGAGTTTATATTTTGGGGATATTTCTCGTATAATAAAAGGGGGCTATATTATATATAGGAAAAGGAAATAATATAGCCAAAAAAAGATAGAAAGGCTAATTTGGATACAAGGAACTCCTTAATTAAGAAGGCAAATAAATAAAAGTATACGGAAAAAAGCCTAGTAAAGTAAGAAAGGTATAGAAGTATAATAAGGAAACTAGAGCTTTTATAGTAAAGAATAAATATAGAGGAATTAATTAGTATTACTACTAAAAAAAGATCTTAATTATAAAGCTTTTATCCTTTATAAAAGAATACTAAAAGAACTATCTCAAAACGATTATTTAGGAGAATAATATTCTAGCTTATAAATCTCATTATTAATAGAAGGTTTATAATCTTTAAAAGATTATGAAAATGCTATAGCCAAGCAATTTACCTGACTTGAATATTATTAAGCGTTTATGGTACTATATAAAGAGGGAAACTATAAAGCGAGGGCCTACTAGTAATAGTAAGAAGCTCAGAGCAAGGTAGGAGAAATATTGGGAGGGTATTCCGCAAGCGAAAATTCAAGAGTGAATTGAGGCAATTCCATATTACGTAAAGGAGATAATTAGATTGGAAGGTGGAAATGAGTATAAGGAAGGACGAAAAAAGGGGCAGGAGAAAGTAGTAGTTTATAGCTAGAGTATATCTTCATTTATTACTAATTTGGTCAGCTAATTTAGCCCCCTGGAACATTCATTAATTAAGCGAAATACCCTTCAAGGGGCAAGTAAGACCTTACAGGGCTATTTAGTGGACTGCATATAATTATGCCCTGTAATCCCGTCACTTTATGCCGCAATCTTCGTAGTGCTGCTCCATCCATAGCATTCTCTTGAATATCACGCTCCTCGACAGGAAGGTGCGCAGACATGGAATCGAAACTTACATAGCCACAAGGGGTAGATGCTCGGCGAAGGTCATCGAGTGGTAGCGAGCCAGATTTGTCTGCTGATAATAGAGTCAAAACATCATCGACCGTCATACGCTTGTCCACGAAGCAAATAGTTGAACAAGCATTTCGTTCTAAGTCAAGGTGCGTGCCTGTATTATCAGGGCAGAGAACATTAACGCAGTCAAGAGACTCAACTTTTAAAAACCCTTTCAGCAGAATATTGTTGTTCCTTATGCCAATTCGAGATTATAAGGAGCGGGGTGGGGGTCGCTCAAGGGATGCCAGCAGACCAAGAATAAGATTACTCTAACCCAAAGGGCGGAACAGAAGCCGCCGAAGATATACCAGAAAACCCTTTGACATGCTTCTCACCATGGCTAGAGAATGTGTTTGGACCATTGCGTGCTAGGCGCGCTGTGGCTTCTGCCTGGTCGATGCCCAGGCTTGGGTCGACGCCGAGCTGTGTTCCATCTCAAGATTCACGAAATAATCTCTGCCTTCGTGCTTTTCCGTCCTAGTGTACTTCTTCTCTTCAACTACTTGAGAACTGGATATTTAGAACGGGAGTTTGCGGAAGCCAATGGGGACGCCAGAGACAGAGCGAATGCGGCTGCGGACACTGGAGATGGAGTCACGGTTGGCAGGGCGCTGCTGAGTGGGAGTTGCATTATTGTTGCGTCCACGGGGGTGGCCTGGTTCAAACATAACGCGCTGAGGAATTTGATGCTCAACCTGGGATGAATTCTCTGTTCCAAATTCAAACTTACCTTTGGCTGAGAGGTGTTCCATGGCTATGTTCCGAAGCATGCGCTGACAGGTCGATTTGGATAGGACAGATATTTCGAACGAGCGCAAAAACCGTAAACACAACTATACAGAGTAAATGAAAAGGGAGCCTTAGGTCGATATCCATGATTATCTACAATACCTTCCGCGGAGTTTCTTACATTTTGGTACAGGTTACATCCGCCTGTCTCAGCGTCAAAAGCCACAACTTGAAATCTGGCGTCAACGCAAACTGCAGAAACCCGGTCAAGATGAAGGAATTAGATCATCTTCACCCGATGAACTTTCATGTTTGAACTCACAGGATGAAACCTGCGATGCCGACTGGAGTAGGAAATCAACGCCTCAGTCCTGACCACGTAATATATTCATGGGTACGGGCTGGAAAACATGCCCGCACAGTCCCAAAAATCGCGCATTCAGATCTCGTAATGATAGGATTCTCCTTCGCATCCACTGCGATTCTCCCGTAACAACATATGTGTCGGGGTGAGGAGTGCGAGCGTACGGGTACCGGCGATGTTTGTCAGATGGTTGTGGTAATCACGTGCCCCCCCCCCCCCCCCTTATTTTGCTTTCCTGGGCTCGCTTATTAAGTTATTAGTCAGCTCTTGAACCCTGGGCATGGTGGGCTTATTGTGCTCATGGTTCGCACTCGAGATACACACATGATTTTGTGACTGTCTTCGTTGTTCTCAGCCACTGTTCTCTCTTTTTTCTAACATAGTTCTTTGCAACCACTAAGGGTAGTTGACTGTTGTGTATCCACCAGAGAAAAAGAAAACTGCCGATTCTGCCTCTCTAAATACAACAATGCTTGATTCTACAGAGGTTCAAGACTATACTTATACAAAGATAGAGCAGAGTGAAAGATAAGGCGATTCCGAAGTAAGATTACAACTCTAAGGTAATCATTCTAGCCCGGACATTCAGACGCCATAACAGTTAACTAGTGTTTTCCAAACAGCTGCAACTGCAGCAGAATAATAAATTACTATAGATACCTTTACTACTACTGCCAAGGTCACTTATCTGGAATTGGGTACATCGTGCAAACCATCCTTGCAGTCGACAAGCTTACAGGCAGGGGCATACCTGAACAGAGTTCATCTATTTCTTGGTTGGCACTGGACTACACAGTTGATTTATTAAATCGTTGCAAAGCCTCTAACTAGATGCGGTTGTATAACTTGAAAAGCTTCGATCGTGAAACAATACAAAACTACTAGCACTAATAGGTGATGACGACGGAGGAGAATATGTCGAGGCTTGAAAGGCCTATAGTGCACTCATTATGCCAACATCAGCAGGTCGAAAGACAGGGGTTCCGAACAACCGCTAAATCTTTCGCTTGACGTATTCTTATATCAGACTCATCAGCGAGATCAAGATGGGGGAATAACCTTATGGCGCAGGCAGGACAAGGAACCTCACAAGGGTAGGCTAATTTCGAAACTTTGGAATCCAGTCTACGGTGTCAAAAGGGCGGGATCGCTCCAGCGGGCTTTCGCCATTCTCGAGAATTGAGATATTTGCGATGTTGCGTGCTATTCATAGAGCTGAGATTGTCCTCGCCACAGGCTAGTTGACAAATTAGCCTTCGTGGACTGTTGGTGTGGGGGAGCGTGAGTTCCTTATATGCGGAAGTTTCAGATGAGACTCAGTGTTTCACGGGGTCCCCGATCCATAAATATGCTTTGTGCTCGCGCTTAAACTGTTAACGGGGTCGACTTGCAGATTGGATGAGGGTACATATCGATTCTGTGGAGCGCGGAAATAGCCCCCAAGATTGGTCCGGATCTTCAAGACCTTGCTCCATACGAGGGACCACCGACTCAGGTGCATGCGATTTTAGATTTCATCCCATGTTAGTTTTTATTCTCGGTCATGCTTGATTTCCAGGGGTGCCATGAGACGAACTCATTCAGAAAAGCTCCAAAGGATTGTCTTCATTCCTTGAACCTTGGTTTGGCCTTCTCTTCGATCTTATTAACTACAACTTTGGATGTATCGTTTCTGGTATCACCACAGCCTTTATTGATCCTTCTGCCCGAATAATCCTTGGACCACTGACAACAACGCTCTGGGGATGGGGTATCTATTCCCCAGGTCTCATCTGGCCGACCGGATACACTTTTGCATGTTCTGCGACGGCTGGTAGTGCTCTCACATGGGCACCAGAATGGAGTTTAGCAGCAGGCGAGACTGCCTTGGGATGTTGTCCATAGTCTGTCAAGGGCATTCAAGTGGAGGATTAGAACATTTGAAGCCGGTTTCTCCTAGCCAATATGCCTGCACGAATAATCAAGCAAGTGTCAATACATGTGCACTCGCCGCTTCTTCAACAAGCGTAGCCATCATGGCCTGCGAAGCTGGAAAAACCTCAGGCTTTACGTATCTCCAAGTCCCGTTCACAGGCAGCAATACCGCTGATCCTGCCTTTACACTCTTCGCCCAATTGTTTCAGATCAATTGGCAGAGTACCGATATTTTATCCCCATCCGCCACCAAATCCTCCTCTTCGGACTCACCGACTACTACCACCCCATCAAATTTTCCACCAACAGGATCTGCAGGACAACCAAGTTCTTCGAATACAACATTAGGTGCAACAAAGGCGGGACTAACAACAGGAGCGATAGCAGGGATTGCAATTGGCGTCTCTTTGGTAGTCATTGCATTGGCAATTCTGCTCTTCTTGCTTCTCCGGAAACCGAAGGCAAAATACGGTCTTGCTGGACAATATTCGCCGAGGGGATTACATAAACTGAATGGTGAGGGCAAGGAAGTTGCGACAGTCTACAAGGATGGTGCTATGGAATATAGCTACCCCCAGGCTCGGCAACGATTGCTGAGCAATCGATTAGTAATCGATTGTGTGCACTATTGATTAGCTATCGATTGTAATCGATTGGTAATCGATTACTAAACGATTATTACCCCGCACCCCACGAAAGCTAAGCACTAAATTTTTAGTACCTATAGCCTATAATTTAGCGATCGTAGCCCTAAAATTTAGCGATAAGCAGCCTATAATTATAGGGCTCCCTTTTCCTCGCGACCACAAGCCTCGAAGCTCACTTCTCACTTTCTCTCTCCACTTATTGCTTTTTACTTTTATATACTCGCCCTCTTAACCCCTCCCCCATTAAAAGTTGCCAAGCTTATGGGCCCAAGGCAGCCAGCGTATGGGAGGGCTAGTGGGAGACTAGTGGATTTGTACTATATTAAGGGGCCTTTCCCTGCCTTTAATAATGAGAACCAAGGCTTTTAACTACTTAAATTTAATATCCCCTAATCCCCCCTTTTACTTTTATACTTTTATATATATAGAGAGAGAGAAGAATTAAAGAGAGAGTAAATACTGAGAGAAAAGGAAGGAGGGGCAGTAATATGTGAGTGCGGCCGATTTTTGGTAGGGTAAATCGTAACAGACCCCCTTACTAGTATAGACTATGTCTTACCGGATACAGGAATAGCTATTAATATCATCTCAATAGTACTAATGAGCGATAGGCCAGAGGGAGTCTTTTCAGGGGCTTATCGTACGGTAAGCTACCTAGAATAGGGGGCAGCTTGAAGCCAGACAAGATGCAGGAGTACCTTAAGTACTAGAAAAGGAGCAGAGTTCTAGATACTTTCTTTAAATAAGTAAATAAGAGAGAGCCTTACCTTTATTATATATAGTATAGTACTCTACTAAACTCCTGGATCTTCTGGCATTAGAAAAGGGGTAAAATCATACGTATGTAGGGATTAGCTCGCTAAACAATCGATTGCACTATCGATACAATCGATACCTTACGATTGTGGCATCGATTGTTATCGATAGTGCAAAACGCCAATCGTTGCCGAGCCTGGCTACCCCGTCTCGGAGATGGCGTCTGATAAGGAAGCACCACTAGCGGAGATATATAAGGATATCATAGGGGGCCACCTGTTGAGTTGGATGCGAGGAGTTTTAGGGGCTACCACGGACCTCGATGATATGAGCCTGAGGTTTCAACTGTTACATTGGACTTGGGAGACTTGTGATGTTAGTTGACAATTATGACATAGCTCTCTAGACAAGGAGCAGAGGCGTTCGTGGCGTTGAGGGGGTACCCCGAGCCTGGGGGAACTTGCTTATTAGGGACATTCATACTTCCGTAATGTCTGTAGCCCTATCTTGGTAGAATGCCAACCATATCCGAAATACAATCCAATGTCCATACACTCAAACCGAAAATCCTTCACATTAGTACCGAAACTCATCACCAAGCTTCCATAACATTACCGAACTCGTCAAGCGCCGCATCTTGATCAAAATCTAGGAACTCGTCGATAATCTCATCGTGATCAAGCAGCCCGATTCCTCCGTGCACAGCAGTCAAGTGCAGATAGCAAGTGTTGGCATCCTCAAAGGCTCGCAGACAGACCCAGCAAATATGTGCGCCACAGACGGTACAAGCCATGTGATTGCAGCCTTCAGTCTTCTCAATCGAAGTTTTGCAGTGCGGACAATCCTGCCATCCCATCTCTCGCTTCAGTGTCTGAAGTGCCTCTAAATTGGGCGAGTCTTTGTAGTCAGCACATGTCATGCCATCATGGTAAATGGCATGACAGTGAGCACAGATGTTGATAAGACAGGCAGTACATAGAAAGCTCGTGGAGCTGGCCGACTCGTGGGTGGCGTTGCGATTTTCTGCGGAAGGTTGTGCAGGGAGGCAATATATCGAAGGACAATCCGGAGTCGGACAATACTGGTATAACGTAGGGTTGGTGCGGACATAGGTTTTGAAACTTGCATCTAGGAGGGATTCAAAATCCGTGAAGTCAAGGAGAGTTCGGAGCTCTTGGAGACAGAACACCTGTGAATATGTATTAATGCAGTTCCGGAAGAGAACACTAAAATTTAATCCACACTTACATGTGAACAACGTCCCTCATCTCCACGTGTAGCACAGCGGAAAGGAAACTCACACGATGCGGCCTGGTTGAGGAAGCACTCTCGGCAATACGTATGACCACATGCAATATCCAATACTTCTTCGGGCGCGGGCTCGGTCCAGCAGGCGCAGCAGGCGCAGCAGGCACCTGGTAAAGCCGCTGGCGGACCTGTTGGACTCACCTCATCATCCTCATAATATAATGTCTCTCCATGAAAGATTGACTTTGCCATTACGAGGTCTTTCTTTGATCCTTGAACGAGAATCTTCTTTGGTGTGCTTGCCACGTCGAGTGTGACCTTTTTGTCGAGAACTGACTCGATGTTCGAGAAGCCGCCAGCAACAGCCGTCTTGAATTCGCCTTCGGTAAGAACCTACAAGAGGTCAGCCAATGCAGCTAAAAGGTAATACGCTTCTATAAAGGCGTCTTATCATGGCCTTACCCATATTTGGCGTGGTTGCTTCAGCTCTGCAACCTTGGCAACTAGGATCTTTCGTACCTCCTCTCTGATCGTCGCAATTCCGCCATACAACCTCAATTGAGATTTGCGGGCATCCCGGTGAATGTAAAGTTGGCTTATATGTGACAATCTAGTCAGATATTGAAGTGCATCTGTGCTGCCAAAGAAAGAGTGCCACAAAGGCGCACCGTCATGCTTGATATCAGTACCCGCTAGAAGCTTCTCCAGTTGCGCCTTAACCTTTGAGACGAGATTTGGAGCATCCGTGCCATCTGCCTCAATTCGCAGAGTCCGAACCGGGCCGCCGTTATCTTTTGAACGGGGTAGAATGAATCGGACACGATGTTCTACGCTACTCTGTCTCTGAAGCTGGTAGAGTTCGGGGAGCAAGACCATAACCATTCGGGAGGGGACGTTGAACTTGATGCTGATTGAAGGTCGGACGGAGAGTCGTCCAATGTCTTCGTGGTGACTCCCATTCAACTCCCGGACAGCTGTGATAGCGTTCTTTGGATCAGAAAACGACGCACTGAGGCAAAAAGTGGATCTGGCCGGGTTGTTATGGAAACTGCAGCTCTTGAGTTGCCCAAAACTTTGAAGGAGTCCCTGAACGACTTCCCTGGATTCATCAGGAGGAGCACCCAATGACGGCGCTCTGATCTTGATCTTCAGTGGGTAAATGGTACCGAGGATATTCTTGAACCATTCCTCCCCACACTCAGCCTCAAGATTGCGCACTTCCAACGTGAATCGATTGTTTCGGTCGTTCCGGCCAGGTCGCTGAACTACGCAATCGAGATTGCAACCGGAAGGGGTAGTCGTCTTTAGAAGAAGTTCGCCCGCCTCGTGGAGCAGGTCCAGGTCATTGTAAGTTAGAAAAGCCATTCCCGCTGGTCTGTACCAAGAACAAATGACTGAGTCGTTCTGAACCCACTTCCCATATTTGTGCTTTGAAGGTATTTCGATGTTCGTGACCTCGGCGCCGGCACCGAAGGTGATAGCAGCTCCATAAATCTTCCTATCACAAGTGGTACCATCTTGACTGCCCTTAGCGCGCTCGCTCTTCGTCAAGGCCAACTTCACAATCTCTCTAGCCAGTTCCTGTACAATGTCAGCGATGTTATGATCGTATACAGCCTACCAGGAGCACTAACCTCATCCTCGGAGACAGTAATCTCCTGGTCAATTTGTCCAGGTCGCGCTGAGACAATGTGAAGGTATTTACAGCTGTTACCAAACCGGCATGCGCCTTGCTGGAAGAATTGGCAAGGGCTGCGCATCCGTTGAGGGATGAATGCTGGGGCGGCTGCTCGCAACATGATGGGTGGTGGTGGTGTTGGGCTGTTGGTCGACTGGGATGTGGGAGGAGGAGGTTGTTGGCAATGATGCCAAAACGGCCTTTATGTTGTGTGTGCCTCGCTTTTGGTAGGCGAACGCCTGAATATTCCGGACTCTTATTATCTACCAATTTAATAATTCTGTACTCCTCAAGCCGAGGCATCAGACTGCTTTGTGGGGATGATGTCGTTTCCGGAATACTAGAGGATCGTCAAGCGAGACCGAAACTAGAAAGTCACTGAAACTATAGATAATTCATTTAAGAAATCCTCAACTGCAACGTGTATTCGAGTGAAAGTTAAGGAGAGAAGACTTATGGGGGATTAGTATATGACGTGGGGGTCAGACCATTAATCAAACCGATTTTGCAAGATGGTGTCGTTTCTAGAACAGGAAAGAATCGTTAAGAGAGACTGATGTTGAAAAGTCTCGAAAAAGACAAACGTTTCATTCAGCTTCGAAGTGAGACCGGGCTGCAGCGCTTCTGACATTTTCAGTGCTTTGACGTTGGGACATCCAGTTCCCCAAGTACAAGTCCTGTTTGTCCCCGTCATCTAGGAACAGGAGTTGATATTAATTCGGATGGTGTTGTTTTCGTTATTGTGGTCTGTGCGAAGCGAACAGCACCCCTTTCGCGGATTATCTATTTATCCTAGCGTTCCTGCAACGGGAGTCGACACCTGAAGAGAAGGTGTTATTCTAGGAGTGCACCCGACGCGAGCCTTCGCGGAACTCACTTTTGTGAAGCTACAGACAAGTATCAAGTAGTGAAGGCTCAATAAAACCAAAAGGAAAGATTGTACAGTACAGTACTTCAATGAGTAGCAGCATGCAGAATCAAGCATGGTAAAGCAGATCTCAAAGCTCACATGTAGTGCAATAGTTGAGGCAAGACTTACAAATGAGCCATGCACCCTCTCTATCTTCATTATTAGCTAGTTTTACACAGGTGGGACATGCCATTGTACAAAGAACACTCATTGCAGTCAAGCAAGCAAGCCATCAATCATCGGACTGATCAGTCGCTGAGGCGTCTGGGTCCCAAGTGGTCGACCCTAGCTTGCCCATAATTTCAAACCTATTGGGCTTGAACGGCCACCTCACCCACGCCTCAATGATCTCCTTCAACATTTCGTCCGTTAAGCATCGCACGTTTGTAAGCTCAACGTCCAAGCTACCACCCTTGGTAGGATCCGTCAAAGAAGGACATTCAGCAATCAGATAATCGTAAGCTCCAGGAGCAAGTGCCGAGAGTCCCCTGCGGATATTCTGAGTCGGGATAATGAGCAGTTGGCTGAGGATGTACTCAAAGGCGTCGTAATTGTCTGGGAAATTTTCTTGGAGGATTGGCCACAGTGACTTGGGTTGGATATCCAAGAGACACATTTCCCGCATAGGGAGGAATTCGTCAGCACGGACTTTCAAGGGCTCATAGTCTCGTCGATCCCACATCAAACTTTGAGGTTTCGTCTCGAAGATTCGACCATTGTCCAGGTAAGCCATAGTGTTCTCGAAAGAGTCCTCGTCTAGGTCGCCCAACCTCCTTTTCCAAGCATCGGTGCGGTGCTTCAGCACCTCCTCTAAAGCTTGCCGCTGCTCCGGCTGTTTCGTGGCGTGAACTTCCCGCTGGAGTGCGAAGATTTTATCGAGCTCAGTTTTGATACCTTCCCGCTTTTCAAATTTTCGCTGCTGGAACTTCTCCAGATACCTTAGTTTTCTAAGGCGGGAGAGTTCCGGACCCTCCGCGCGTATTTTTGGCCTTTGGGCCGATCCATCTTTGTATTCCCAATCTCCGAGCTTGCCTGCCGCGTACTGAGCTTCCAATCCCCTCAGCTCTTCAAGAAAAGAAACACTGGTGCCGACGCTGCCAATCTTTCGCAAGTCGCTTGGCACGCCAGAGATCAACTCTTCAAGACAGTTGCTCTCACGGCCTTGTGGAGTACGGATGCCCATTTTATCCATCTTCTCGTACGCCAAACTGGTGCTCTGTAGTTCTAGATCTCGGTCTCTTGGATAAGTGTTCCTTGTGGTACTGGCAGCTACTACCTGGATTTTCTTACATGAGATCTCGGCTTCAATGGCCGCCTTTCTCCGAAAAGATATGCTCTGAGGTAAAATGGTGTCCTTTTCGTCATTGTCAACCCAGATCAACATTCGAACCTGCCCATATCGCTGGAAGAGGGAGTGAGTTCGGAGAGCACTCATAAATTGGTAAAGTACCAGGTTCGCCATAGATGAGAAACCTTTAAAACTTCTCTTTGGGTAATGTCCAAGATTTGCTACGAACAGAAGAGTATCATTTGGCTTTTCTAGGCGAGAGTCACCCCGAACGAGAGGTTCTTGGTGTGGCAGATATTCGTTTGAAAGTACTTTCTCCATATGCCCCCAAACAAGACCAGATTTTGGGATTAATTTGAATGTTGATCCAGGTGCATCGAGCAGAGGCTGAAGTATAGGCTGGTATAACCGATGATCGGCCTCGAAAATAATATGGGTTCGAGGTTTCAGGACATTATGCAGTTTTTCGGACCATATGCCGATGCCTGGGTTCACCTCGATGATGTCGCAACCAATGTGCTTCCACAGAGAAGGTTCAAGGCGCATCAATACGTCATCTAGGCCCATTAGTCGCATTTCGAGGGGTGAGACGTGAGTGGGAGATCTTACCACAGAGTGACTCGCTGACAATATTTATTCTCCTATTATCCCCAATCGATCTCCCTTGACCATAACCCCGTGCCCACTGAAGGTAAGGTATATAATCTGCCCGTATATTCCCCGAAGTGAAGGTTGCATGCTTGGTCTTGTTTCTCCTCTCGAAAAGAGTGATCACATTGCCTTCAGCTGGAGGGTATTCTGTAATCCTTGGCTTGCGACCCGGCTTCCCCCTAGGCTTTGGAGGCCCCTCAACCTTCGGCTTTGGTTTTGGTCCTGGCTTCTGTCTGGGCTTTGGAGGTCCCTCAATCTTCGGTTTCGGTTTGGGGCCTCTCTTCTTTGGAGGCCCATTTGGTTCTTTGGGTTTCGCTGGACAGCCTCGACCACGTTTCACTGGCTTCGCAGGATCGATTTCTGACGCATCGTGACTTGGCTCGGCAAACTTCGGTGACGTAGACTGTATAGAAGCTATGGACCGTGCGATATTCTCTGCTGCTCCATCATCGTGGTTGAGGGATTGTCGAGTTTCCCCCTGGATTTTTGATTCGGCTGCATCGTCGGGGCCTGAGGACGGCGAGGGAGATGGTGGAGAGCCTGCAGGTATTGCACTAGATAAAGGTATCGGTGTTCTAATCGGTGTTTCGGCTGGCTTCGCAGCTGTTGAGCTCTGTTGCCGTGTTGTGATGGTTGAAGGGATTTGTCGAATGTAAAGCAGAGGTGCTGGAGATCTTCGTTGCGCTGATCTGCCTGTGGCAACAAGTACGCGAAACATTAATGAAAACGTACTGTACACACGAATGAAAAAGTAGACCTGGAAAGGTAGAATTGAGGTTGAAGGTAGAGAACTGAGGTCGTGAGGCTGAGGATGTTTCACCTCCAAATTTTCTCGAGGCTGACGAAAGCGCAGATTACACAGGATGCGGCCACCGTAATTCTGCCGTCGTTCACCGCCAAATATTTAGCCTCGATGGTTTCATCATACGAGGCTTACGACTCTCTTCCAAAGCAAACAAGAATCCAGCATTTCAAATTAGCACAACCCTCATTCTCTAAAGATTTATGGAAGCAATGTCTTAGGAAACTTGTTGTACTGCCGTATCCGGCTTGAAGCAATTTATAATCGGTAAGCCGGGACGACTGGGAGCCTTTTGCCATGGCGGGGTCTTCATTCCAGGCCGAGAGGCCCATGAGCATCAGAGAGATTACGGCGAAGGCCCAGGATTTCGAGTTCAGCGAATCTATCCCGCCCAAATACTGGCTGCGAACTGGAGAGACTCTCCTGCGAGAGGTGGGCACCAAAACAACCATGGGAGGCTCCTTCTAATCTTTGGCAGGCGCAAATCTACGAGCGGGAACAGAATGACCAACAAGCCTACATGCTTCTCATGCGATATACAAATCTGATAGCTGAAAAGCTTCCCACCCACTCGACCTATAAGCAGCCTGAGAACCGGGCAGGGGTGAAGGCTGCTGTCAAGACGCTCCGAGAGGTCATGACTACCATGGAAGTCCTGAAGCCACAAATCGATGCTAGATACAACGCATATATGGAGAAGAATCAACACAGCAGTATAGCCGTGGACAATGATGGTTCTCGGGCGTCAACTTGGGCGAACTTTGCGGCTTCCGACCCCGCCGTAGCAGGGAATACCACAACCTTGGATGCGGAGGAAAACAGCCAGCTAGCAGTTAAGATTGCCCACAAAGAGATCAGGAGGCGTGACGCTGCCCGAAGAGCTGTACGCCAAGCAGGAGTATCCGAGAGAGAGGAGCGGCAGAGGCGGACTGCTGGTCTATGGGACCACTGGGACTCTGGTCTTTCAAGGGATGGGGCTTCCGCATCGCGAGACGACGATGAGATGCGGCGGAATATGGAAGCATCGAGGAGGAGAATGGATGGGTCACATGATATTGTACCGGATGCAGTGAGGAGGACACAAGTGAATCCACGACCGGCGCCTGAAAGAAACGGAACAAGTGACTATCGGTATCCGTCAATCACCAGATCACAGCCTGTGCGATACGAGGATGATTTTGAATCACGGTCAAGATCAATATCCCCTCCCAGACCACTTCCACCCAAACCTCCAAAGGAACGGTTTGGCGAGGTATACCAGCCAGAACCACCACCACGACCGCACCCGAATGAAAGATTTGGAGAAGTGTACGAACCGGAGCCACCGCCACTGCCGGGAAAAGACAGCCTTCATCCTATAGAACATCCTATAGAAGCTAGCATGTCGGACCCCAAAGCCACTTTCACCTTCCGTCCCTCTGCCTATCTCGAGAACGGCAATCCGCTCCGAACCATCTTCCTCCCGCCGACCCTACGAACAGAATTCCTGAGGTACGCCGAGTCAAACACGCGACGAAACCTCGAAACATGCGGCATGCTGTGCGGGACTGTGATCTCCAACGCAATCTTCATTCAGCAAGTCGTCATCCCGGAGCAGGAGAACACAAGCGATACGTGCGAGATGATCAACGAATCCGCGTTCTTCGATTATGTTGATTCCCAAGAAAATGCGATGGTCCTTGGATGGATCCACACGCATCCAACGCAGACGTGCTTCATGAGCAGCAGGGATTTGCACACACATTGCGCCTATCAGATCATGATCCCCGAGAGTATAGCCATCGTTTGCGCTCCGAGCAAGAATCCTTCGTAAGTTACACACTATCCTTATCGAAATTGATACTGATTGATGGCAGATGGGGTGTCTTTCGACTCACCGATCCACCCGGGATGCAATGTGTTCGCGCCTGCACCAAACCGGGGATATTCCACCCACACGAAGAGTCAAACATCTACACCGATGCGTTGCGGCCGGGCCATGTCTTCGAAGCCGAGGGGCTGGAGTTTACGATTGTGGATCTGAGGCCAGATAGCTAGGCTCTTTCTCTTAGAGGGTGGTCGGTGGGATGGGTTGCGCCGTATGGGTGGTTTATTGGAAGTGACCATGTTGAGATATGCTGGAACGAATCAATGGAATTTGCTTTTGCACAGCGTTGGCGTTTCGGGGGTTGATTGCAACCATTCAGATCTTATTCTGTTTGAGTTAGAATATCCTTCGCGGGATACATAGATGAGTCGAGCACTGATAATCGAAACGATTTGAGCTGTCAGCCCCGTGTGGCATTGAGTGACCCGCATTATCCTTAGGCTGCTAGGATCTTTGAGCTCCTCAACCTGCTGAGACGTATCTCTGGTTTTGGGTTGCCGGTCAGTGTTTGGAGTTGGCCGTGTCGTCCCATCGGCACGGGTTTGTTTTGTCAAGATGGCTTATTCTCCCCAACGCCTTCAAACATTTCATCGAACTCGTTCAGCTGCACAGTTATGCGACGTTTCGAATCTGTTGTTAATGTACCCTCCTCGATCGCCAAAGAAGCCAAGGCTAGGCCCGCCTCATCTGCCATGAAACTCTCCATTCTCTTCGACTCCTGCAAACCTTTCTTCCTTTCTCTGTTTGACGAGTGGGTGCTTTCGCGCCTTGAACCCCCTCCTCGAACACTTTGACGTGAAGAGATCGTCTGCGCATCGCTGCGACTCTGAATATCGTCGTGGATGATATCAATCACGGTTTTCATCCAAAGGCGGGATGCGGTCAGGATCGAATCTTGCGCTTCAACGTAGATAGATTCTTGTATTCCTTGCTTTTGTATAAGAGGTTTCGAGGATCTACTACCAAACTATCAGCCTCTGCTTATTTATTAGGGAAGAAAGGTAGAATGGTTGTACAGTGCGAATGCATACTCTTTGGCATCAGAATTCCTTTTCACTGGAGATGTGGAAGGGTTACTCCGAGCCATCATGGAAGCTCTGTTTTCAGATTGAATAGTTTCCTTAGATTTGGAAGTGCAGGAAGCATCCTGTAAACGGACATCCTCGACTCATATATGCACCTCTCTACACAATTCACGGAGTAAGCACGATCACACGGTCAAAGTCGACTCTGTCCTCCAAACCGGCTCCAGCTTACAACCAAGCCGCATCCAAATACCGTGGCAGAACTTCGGCATACCATGCTTTGCCGCCACTCATGCAAGCCTGGCGACGGCATCGACATTAATAGTCACTCGAGCCAATCACAGGATCCGGGGAAGAGGAGTAGCTGCATGCGAATTTCGATGATGAGTGGATGTTGTGCGTACTAGATTGTTCAGCCACAGAGGATGTGGGCATTGCGGGCCGTGGGGCCGGGTGTGGCTGGTGAGATCAGTTTGTTGATTTAATCTGAACGACATATGCTATATGCTGTGTCACAGAGGATATCTATGGAGACTACATTCGCGCTACTACTCTAGTGGGTATCTGGCGCTTACCCGTAACACTCACGACAAAGATGGGTGGTTTGTGTCACGTGCTCGTCGCTCCTCGGCGTGGATCTGGGATCTCAAGCCTAAACGTTCGGTCCTTCGAACATCACTAGTATTTGATAATCGCTTATTTGTCCTTTCGGTTCAACATTGGGTGACAATAAACCAAGTGGCTGCAATATATCGAGTTTTCTGCTTCCGAGCACTAACTCATCACCAACGCCATCTCAAGACCAAGACAACATCCGCCTGAATTACATATTCATCACTCCATACCATTACCTTCTCTGCTCCGAAGCACAACGGCGGTGTTGGAACTTGATTGAACTGGACCGAAAGCGTCTGCGGAGGTAACAAGGATAGGCGTCAGCATTTGACCCGTAATGGCAAGACAGAGACTCAGGCTCGTGGCCTCTGAGTCTCAGTCCCCATCGAAAAGGTACTTTGTTACTCTGTTACCTCTACTAGTCTCTGCCTCATTGTTTCCCCTCACTGGCCTTGTTGAAAACCTCCTCAAGTAATTTCAACTTCTCCCCAGTGCGAGCTTGGGCCTCCGCCGTTGAAGTGCTACCGTATGTATGTGCTGGACAAATATCTTTGTCTTCGAGGAAAGTATGGAGTCGTTGGGAGGCTAGTGCCTTGTCTGGCGCCACTCTTGCGTCGGGCGCGGACGGGGTTGGGTTGTGCTCAGATCTAGGTGCAGATGAAGTCAACATCAGCACATCATTTCAGCAATTCGGGGGTATGTCGACGTACCCAGTAGCTGAACCATTCACCGCGATGTTAGAGTGACAAGTGCTTGGCGGCATAGTGGGCTACAAAGTGGTGAAGGGGGAGTCTGAAGAAAGGTCTGCGGTGTCACGTGTTTGGACCTTGACTCCTGGTCTCTCAAGAGGTGTTGGAACGAGCTCATGTTGGGGCAAAAGCCATACTTATGGCTCTCTGAATTCTTCTCCCGCCAGCTTTCGTCAGAATTGTTTCCTCTTTGGTGCCGAATTCTTTCCAGTCACATATGTTACATTTGTGGGAAAGTTGTATCCCCAAGATTAACCCCTTGATCACATTGGCTGAAAACGGCATCCGTCAGATCCTGAAGCCAATTGAAAATGATCGCTTAACCTTGGCTGGCCTCACTGCTGCCCAAGCCATGATGCGGCAGCAAAATCAACAAGGGTTGAATAGCTGGCTGGTGCCGTCCCTTCGGCTGTTGTCAGCTCTCATTGGCTACCTTCCCTCAGACCTCGATTCCTTCCCGCCTCCCCTCCCCCATCTCCTTCGATTCCCCATTATTGTCCTGCTCTCGTTTTAGTGTTCCCCAATTCTCTAATTTCGGTTCCCAGGCAGATATTTCACTCGCGACAACGCGAGATAGCACGGGTTAAAGGACAAGCCCAAGTGTGCCTCCGTGGTCGCGCTGGTGTTTTTCCAAATCGCGTGTCAATTGTTTGTAGTTGTTGAAATCCCGTCGAGTAGCTTGGGGATGGGCTCGGGAAAGCTATTTGAACCAGTAACTGACATGCCCAGACTCGGGCCACACAAAACGTCGATCATGTGTGTTTCGGTACCAAATATCCCGTGATGCATGTTTTCTGTAAGCCCAGTGACATTGTTCACACCAAAAGCGTTGACACATTTGAACTATAGCCATCTGAAACGGTTGTTGCTGAATAAAACTTCACATGGCTCAGATTGTTGTCTTCTATGCTCCCAAAACTACATTCGTCTCATAGTCTGGCTTTCAACGCTTGCCCAAACTTTCACGGGTGACGAAATTCGCACTGCACTTATAATTATGTCATTTACGTTTTACGTCACATTGTAGATCATCTTTTCGACATTTCTCTGCTTTCATGTCGATTCGATAATTCCCGCCCGAGTTCAAAGCCACTCACTACCTTTGATATACGTCTCAGTGCGCCTATACTTTAGCATTTGGGTCCATTTTCTTGAGCGAGTGACTTCTTGTGGCCCTACATCAGTATTTGCTCTTAACTCTGAATCTTCATTGTCTCCGGTATGTTTTCTCCCCTTCATCAAATTGCTGTTCAAACTCCTTGATCTTATCTGCCATGTACTTTTGTGCCTCCAGTACTGTTTCGCAGCGAAAAGGTATCGGCCCAGGGTCTGCCATGAAGTCCTGGATTCGTTGTGAGGCATGTGGGTCTCTTTTGTTATTGACTTTGTCACCAGCATCTATGATTTGAGGTCTCGACCTGTGTGAAGAAGTCGTTAGTCTTCAGTATTGTGATAGTATCACTAGAGACAAGGCAAGATTGAATGGAGGTAGCACATACTTGGAGCCATTGACCTGCCTTGACGAAGTGTCTGTGTGTGGAGGCATGGCGAGTGGGGCGAATAATGTGAGGTCGAGATGGTAGCGGGCAAGGCCAACGTTATAGGGATGCGCTTGATGCTGTAGATAGGAGCTGCACTTTGAGAAAGAATATGATTTTTGAAATCGCTTCAAAGCGAGGAAGGCAGACCTCGTTGAACAGTTTCGAATTTCAGGAGGGGGCACGTTTTAATCTAGCCATCAGGCTCTACCACCTGCGAGAACAGGTCCGGCTTTGCCAAAAAAAAAACTACATAAAGTGTTCACTCTTTGCAGGTTGCGTACATCAAAAGCCCCAAAAACCGTATCTCGCTCGGCTTGCGCGCAAGGGCATGCACACCCACACCCACACCACCAGAGGCATTTTGATTGGCTGCATTTGAGGTTGCTTATTATTTTGGTTCATGATGCAAGGGATTTTCTGCAGGGTTAGGATCTTCTTCTTCCAGCCCGTTAGTCAATTGGGCATTCTGGGCGGTTTCTTGAATTCTTCTCTCTGCGAAAACGAACGCTTTCTTTTTTGTGCATCGCGTGGCGTTCATGTTGGGGAAGCAGCGTATTATGACATATTTCTAGCCTTTCCGACCCCCGAGCCAGATCTGGTTGTCGGGGGTGTCTCTCAGTGGTGCACACCGCTCTGAAGGAAGCAGCCGCCTGCATGACCACAGATGTGATTCGTATCGTGTTCTTCAAACCCTGGCCGCCCCCCGCATATATTCACACAACGGGACTTTCCGTTGTTGTCCAGCCTGTAAGAACCCCCGATCAACAAATCCAAATTACTGCATCAGGCAGTTCGAAATTCAAACGCTGCCTGCAGCCTGGGGCATCCGTTGTCCGGGGCCTCCTTGGCCTATGCATCTCAACCCGCTGTATCCCAAGGCGACTTGCATCAGCATGCCCGGAGATTTATTGGCTTCCCGCTCTCCCCCAGCCTGTAAGAATCCCCCGATCAACAAATGAAAATTACTGCATCAGGCAGTTCGAAATCCAAATGCTGCCTGCAGCCTGGGGCATCCGTTGTCCAGGGCGTCCTTGGCTTATGCATCTCAACCCGCCGCATCCAAGGCGACTTGCATCAGCGTGTCCAAAAATTATTGGCTTCCAGCTCTCTCTCCCGGCATTTGGCTCACTCATGTGGTTCTTACCGCCTTCCAGGACTGAGGCCCCCTTTATCTTCCGCACTCATTCATGCTGACAAAGACACCTCCTTGCCCGATGCGGTAACCACCAGGGGGCTCTGGTGGTTACCGAGCAATCAGATTGACGCCTTGCCCCATCTAGTAAGTACTTGCCCCATCTGGTTGAAGGGTTCACCAGCCACCGCCCAAACACTCAACCGCCAACTTATACCCCTGTTGGAACACCAAAGATTTATGTTTTTTTCAAAGTGCTTAGAACATTCTCAGAACTTCTCTGAATATGTAAAATGCCCCAAAAAGTCTGATTCTAACGTTAGTTTTTCGAAATTGTAGTGCTGTCATGGCCAAATTCAGGTTTGAGCAGTTGAGTGGTGTGGGCGTTTTGGCTGGTGACCTTTCTAACCACTCGGAGGGCTCTACTTAGTAAGCAGATTGACGCCTTGCCCCATCTAGTAACCACCCAGAGGGGCTTAGTAAGCAGATCAATCCCTTCCCCACCTGGTAACCACCCAGAGGGCTTTGCTTAGTAAGCAGATTGACTTCTTGCCAAGCTGCCAAGCTGCCATACCTCCGTACACTCTGATAAGATCCCCTGCAACCGGATAAGCCCCATATCCCTACCCCGCCTTGCCTAATCAGACCAACTCTGTTATTGCTGACTGAAAGGGAATAAGGTATGGTTCGCACGCTTTTGTTAGATTTTCACCACTTTGTGAGCACCGAGTTCTGTATCTGGTAAGGAGATGCCATGGGTGCAGGTACGGTGCAGGTGGGGTGTAGAGGAGCAGGGCATATGGGGTCAAGAGGAGGCGAAGAAAGAGGATCCGAGGGGGCGCTGCATTGCATGAGCCATTGCATCTTTAGCAGAGGCTTCTTGGGGGGTTGCAAGAATGGTCTGAAATATCTCGGTACACCAGACAAGAGAACTGGTATTACCGCAGCAGTTTCCGGATTTGTGAGCATCGTGTAGCCAATCCGACATGTTATCGTCTAGGAAGATGATCGATCGTCTTTGATCC